GATTGAAACGATTGAAATTCAATCGGGGGCCCGATTGAAAAACGATTGAAACGATTGAAATTCAATCGGAGACCGGATTGAAGATTGAAGATTGAAGATTCCCGGAAAGCTTTTTTCTGGGAATCTTCAATCTTCAATCTTCAATCCGGCCCCCGATTGAATTTCAATCGTTTCAATCGTTTTTCAATCGGGCCCCCGATTGAATTTCAATCGTTTCAATCGTTTTTCAATCGGGTTCACGTCTTGTAAAGTGTCAGAATTAGCTTTCGTGACGTCGCTCAAGATCACGTGTCTTCGCAGACATTCCACTCGAAATATACTTGACCATTTGTGTTTGTAATACTCGCAATGGCTCGCATCCCAGTGGCTGGCTCAGTCTTATGGTTTTTATTGGTTTTTGCGGTGTTTCGGGAGCGTGGGTCCCACGCTAAAAATCGGTTTTACCGATGTTTTTGAAAGCCTACCTTCAAAATAACATCGGTAAAACCAATGTTTTTGAAAGCCTACCTTCAAAAAACATAGGTAAAACCAATGTTATTGAAGGCCTACCTCTAAAAAACATCAGTAAAACCGATGTTTCGTGAGCCCATGCTCCCAAAACATCGCAAAAAAACAATAAAAAAAAACATGTCAAAAACCATGATTTTCGAAACTAGTGGCTGGGGTGGCCGGCCGAGTAGTTTCAGAAACCATAGTTTTTATGTTTCTTATTGGTTTTTGCGGTGTTTCGGGATCGTGGGCTAAACCTTTAAGCCCTGTAGGCTATACGGTTAAGGTTTAAAGGTTTAGGGTTGAAAAGTTCAACAGTCAGCCCATAGAGTTTAAACCTTAAGGGTCCTAAACGCTTAACCTTTAAACCCTATAGGCCATAGGGTTAAGGTTGAAAGGCTTAGGGTTTAAGATTTTGGCATTAAAACACAAGCCCATAGAGCTGAAGCCTTAAGGGTTTAAGGTTTCAGCATTGAAACGATAACCCTAAGCCCTTTAGGGTCAGAACCTTGAAGCCCAGTGTTTAGGCCCTGTACGCTAAGATTTACACTCGATGGGCTTAGGTTTAAATGCCTAAATCTTAAGGCCTAAACCTTTTAAGCCTTAACCCAAAAGGGTTTTACGGTTAAGGGTTCAGGTTTAAATGGCGGTTACATCTTCAACTTCACATCGCCTCCGGGCCCATGCAAGTATTCAACTTGATATCGCTAAATCATGAAAATACCTAGATCTTTGGGGGGGGGGGGGGTAGCATATATATATATATATGTGTGTGTGTATACACAAATAGCTAAAGTCAAAAGGCAAAACCGTTAATCGCACCTCCAAGATAGGAGACTGGCCTTAAGGTGCCTTGTTGTTGGCACCTCCAGTCTCGGGATTTGCCCCAAAACCTCAACCCTAAACCCGACACCCTCAAGCTCCTCCGGTTCAGTTGCGGGGGTTTGTGTCGTAATTTACAGGGTTTTGTGTTTTTTGTGTCGGGGGAACATAATTTTTGGGAGCATCTTTTTTGGGAGTTGGTTCGGAGGGTGAGGGCTCAAGAGCCTTTATCTCGGAGGATGTTTTTTGTTCCATATGTATCGCAAGAACTCGGCTTCAAGTCTTCCCTGACACCCTCAAGTTTCTATCCTCCAAAAGGGGGTCTCAAACCCCGAAACCCTAAACCCTAAACCCTAAACCCTAAACCCTAAACCCCAAACAAGTAGGTTCCAAAAGGGGTCTCAACACAGGGGGCTCCAAGAATGGTCAGAGAAGGGCTCCCCGGCAACGCAATCCGCGCGACGAGGATGAGCCAACCTTGGAGGTCCTGTCCCATTAAGGTTTAGGGTTTAGGGTTTAGGGCTTAGGGTTGAAAAAACCGCTTGAAAGGGATCAGGGAACTCAGGCTTTAGGCGTTTATAAGGGCTGCAGGGGGAAGTTTCAACTGAGGTGAAGGGCTTTGGCTTTGCAGCTTAGAGTTTAGGGTTTAGGGCCACGAAGCCAGAAGTTGATGCCCTTACAAGCCCATCCCGAGCGCCCGGAAGTCCTAGACTCAGATCAACTCAAGAAGGGCGAACGGGCGCGCAGAGTGGGGCATTTGATCTTCGAAGCTGATAACCTTACCACGTGCAGATCTCTTGTCAAATTCGAACTATCACTTAGAATCAAATTCAAGCTCAGGCAAGACGGTGAAGGAGCATTTCCGCGCCCCGGCTGTCTGCATGGAATCTGGTTGTAGGGCTTGGGACACCCGCAACCGCTGAATGTCGGATGAGAAACGACTCACCCCGACCCCCCAAACCCCACCCCTTACCCCCTCCCTTACCCCCCTTACCCCCAGCATGGGCATACACGGGCCTGTGGCAGCTCCATGGCAGCACTCTGATGATGGGATTACCGTTTGACAGTCGTTGTGGCTATCGGGGTCTGGGGGTGGAGGCTGCTGTGAAGTCTAGCCATGTCGAGCCGCTCGGTTGCCGAAGTGGGTTAGAGCTGCTGGAAGGTGCGCACTTCAAGCGCCAAAGATCCCTAGAACCCCACTGTAAACCGCCGTACACGTATAAGCTCCACGGGTATGCCGGTGTACCACCTCCTCGGCTGGCTACTTAGGTGTGGGACATGTGCTGAAAGAGTCATTGGCCCTAAGTCCTGGATCCGGAGCCCTATCGGCCCTAGCCCGATGGCAGCCAGGTGCTGGATGGACTCTCGGGTTTCTTTTTGCAGTGGGTTTAGGATTTAGGGTTTGGGTTTAGGGTTTAGGGTTGAGGGTTGAGGGTTTAGGGTTTAGGGCAAGGGCTCAGAGGCAGACCCACACACAACACACAGAAGCAGACGCAAACAGACCCGGAACTCGAACCCCATAAGGCGTCTTGAGTGAAAGCCATAGCCGATACCAGTTTCGCCTTTGTGGGATGGGTCCCAATCGGTTCAGGAGGGCGAGTTCAAGCTTGCAATGCATGGGCTGAGCCTGCTCAATGAAACGAGCTTCGCTCAGTTTAAGCTTGGCTGACTTCTGAACCCCTCCGAAAAGTTTAACTTTTAGGCTCCTTATTGTTTCTACAAGAACCAAAAGGCCAAAAGGTTAAAGTCCAAAGGGCCAGCCAGAAGAAAGCCAAGTAAGCTCTGACCTCCTACCAGTTCCCTGAACTTCCCCGAGCCCTGACTGTAGGGATCGGTCTCGGAGCGAGGCGTAGAGTTGAGGGGTTAGGCTCAATATTATTCCCTTATGGTCCCTTTATAATTATACTACAACAACCATCCAAAACCCTATTCTAGTTATTAAGCCCCCTATATTAGGGTTTTCCAGGTAAACCTGCAACACTTCTCTGAGCATTTTTGACGGTGATGCTGCCGGGTTCGGCGCAGGCTTGACACCTTGAAGTGCCACCAGGACGGACACAGGAGGGGCCCTTGCCTCGACGGCCTACAGCGTACGAGGTTTCGTGTTTGTGGTTGCACCCCAAAGTCTTTTGCCAGAGAACTGCACCAACCGCCAAACCGTCTCTCCATTTGTTTTATTTGCTAAGCTGCTACGTATACAGCGCGACATAGGCCGGGCCCAACTGTCCTCAGCATGTTGGTGAGTCGGGTGTGTCTCAACAAAGTCAGCTTGCCTAGCTCTTGAACGTTGAGGCGGGTTTAGATTGCACCCAATGCACTTTGGCAGGCTTCTCCGACAAGTGTTGCACTCTGGGGGTATGCTGAAGTCCCTTACCTCCCTGAAACATCTTAAGCTGCAATGCAGCTTGAATGTTGCGCAACCCTTCACAGCTTTCTGTCGGACCATTGTTGATATTGTTCCTCCTGGAAGTTTCACTAGTCACTGGTGTGCAAGGCTGAGGTTCTACTGGTTGTTTTTGTACCCTGCAAGCTGTAGGCTGTAGTTGTCCAGCTAAATACTCCGTTTTGAGGCCCACGCCCGCCAGCGGATGCCCCATCAGATTCCACGTCTCTTAGCGAGCAACGGAGAAAGAAGTCTGAATCCGAGACACACCCGAGTGAATTGAGCTGCTGTCCCATCATCTCGATGGCGTTTACACGGGCGTAGTTGGCGCTTGAAAAATCGCGTCACGCATCAATACCTTCACCACCACGCCGTCCGAGTTCCAAGCCGTTTCACAACATGTTGTTTCTGCTCACACTCTTTTGCGAACTTCGGTTCGGGGTTGAGAACTTCAGGCCTGAAGTTTCAGATGCATTGGGTTTGAGGCTTGAACTATGCTTTCGTAAAGACCTGAAGCTGTGAGCAGGCCTCGGTTTCAAAGGCTTGGCCCCTTCACATTCCATTCTAGTCTGTTCTAGCCTCTTTACACAGCGATAGCTAACCTTACACAAAGAACTACCTGCTAAGCTACGCTACGCTCCCCCACAATTCGTGGAGAGTGAAAACAGAGACTGTGAATGACAGAGCGGGTATGCAGTCCCAACTCAAACACCAGCGGACCTTGCATGGCACAGCAATGCAGCTTGCAGCAACGCATAGGATTCTCAACCATAAACCAGCAGCACGCGAGACCCTAAACCCTTCCTACCCTGATTATCAAGTCCCATACGACTGCCAGCCCCGAAAACCCAGAGTTCGGACTGCCTGTCCCGCTGGCGGCCCTCTAGCGAGCTGTGAAAACAAAAGCGCGGGCCTCAGAGATAAATCTGAGTGCCGTAGCTTGCATTGCCCTACATGTAGCTGTTTCAGGTGCACGGATAAATCCAACCTCAGAAAAATGTACATGCGGATACATATACACGTGTATGATCCTGGGCCCTAGGGCCCTACCCCCCCCCCCCCCCCCCCAACCCGAGAGCATTAACCCTTCACCCTCAACCCACAACGAACCACAGGCGGAAGCCCTCAACCCAAACCCACCATCGGAGGGGCAGTGGTTTGTGAACCGATACCTTTTGCAACGCTGCTGGCACCAGCGCTTTGGAGCGACGCTGGGAAGAGGGTGTCAAGGGGCTTGTAGACTTCAGGGTCAGGAGTTCGAGGGTTGTGGGAGTTTGGGGAGAAACGGAGATCCCGCGCTCTACCACTAATCAGTCTGCTCCATCAGGATAACAAACTCATCGAAGGTGAGCTCAGGCATCTCGCTCCTGAGCGCAGGTTTGGCACTTGAGTCCCAAACCTTACGCCTTGCTTCGTCTCCTAGAATGCTGGCCTCAGTGCACAATTTATAGCATGAGAAACGGCTCTTTTGTAGTTCCTTCAGGGCTTCGAAACGTACGTATGCTTTAAGACGAGACCTGAACTGGAGCCCAGGGCATCCGCCAACAACACTCGTAAGCGCAGAACTGAAAGCCATCAGGTAGATAAGTATGGAAGCGGAGACCTGCCCTTTGAAGAAAGCACTTGGAGCTCTCCCACTTCAATGTCTGAACTGATGGCACTACGCCTCATCCAGTTCCAAAAACCGCGGGTCTCTCAAGACTTTCCGAGCACAGGAACATACAGGAACACCGGTACACCGAGCTGGACCCTGACTGCTTTTACGAGTACGGCTGGGATCCACGCGCGTCTTGTTGACCTCCCACAACAGCGATCTCCTGTCCGCATGTCACTGGCCACAAGGCGAGAAAAACTCTTTTGAAGGCTAGATCCTTTCTCTATTTGCTATCTCGTGCTTTGCAAAGACAGTTAAACACCTCTTGCCTTGCATGTCGTCAAAGCCTTGTCTTGAGTTCGGATCTAGGTGGGTTGGGTGAGGGGGGGGGGGGGGGGGGGGGGGCACCCCAAGTCTTGGCCCACGTGCGGCAGACTCATTCACAGACGCCTGAACATGGCGTGATTCCAGCAGTAGGTGTGGGTTCGTTAGCAGGTATCGCTAGCAAGCTTTCAGGGCGTAGTCCCCACTTGTGAAAGCTTTGGCATGTTGAAGCGCGCCTGAAAGTGACTGCACCTTTGAAAAATGGAATGGCCCAGGTTGGTTCTGATTTGCTGGGGGAGAAGCAAAGAAGAAAATGGCATCTCCACCGGGCAAGCCCTTTAAAACATCTGAATGACACGTCGTTATAACCGGACAGCAATAATCCCAAACATTATTTCACGCTGTCTCGACACGACATCTCCTCAAACAGTGCCGGCTGGCACTTTGGCTTGCTACGTTGGAAGTAAGGAACTTTCATGGACATCCAAGAGTTTCGCTCCTTATTTGCACTTTTGATCATTTTTGGGTTCTTCCGTGGGTTGGCTTGGCGCGCACGTTGTAAGGCTCTAAGGGGATGGTCTTGGAGTGCTTTTGTCGGGTCCTCTTGGAGTGTTCTTGGCATACTCTTGGGGTGCTCTTAAGTCTTAGGGTGCCTTGGGATGCTGTTGCAGTGGCCTTGCACTGTACGCCTATATGATTTTGGCGAGTCACCTGCAAAGTGAAGAGGACAGGCCGACCGGAGGAAAAAAAAAGAGAACATAACAATTCAACCCCCCTGCCCTCGGCCCCTCAACCCAACCCCAAGAAAGAGTCTTTTTTTTCTGGACAACCGTAACAACAGCTAGACCAACCAACATCAGCCACGTTCTAAACCCTAAAACATCCCCAAAGCCTCAGGTGCTGCGGCTCCTGCCACTCCGACTCGGTGATGGCGTTGCACATGACGCTCTTGACGTCCTGCAATGGCGAATTGCGGTTTAGGGGCGGTCCAGTGCTTCGCCCTCCACCGAACATGAACAATACTGGGGGGGGGGGGGGGGAATGAGCCCGTGCCAACTTTAAAAAGTACATATTCCCCTCACGGGTTTGCCTCAGCCGACCTAACGATTCCTCAGCTGCCCCAGAGCCGAGATTCAGCATCGGATAGGCGCATCAGAAAAGACCGTCTTCTTAACGACCTAGAAGTTCACTGCTGTAAACTATCTTCAGGAGTATGTAGTGCTTTGGGGTTCAGGGAGACTGGAGTTTTTTGCGGATTTAGGGACGTCTATGGCGTCCAGGGTGCTTGGGGGCTTCGGGTCTGAAGTGGTGGGGTGTGCGGACATGTTTGGTCTGTTCTGGCTTCAGGCTTTAGCAGAGTGCACAGGCTTTCGCGCTCTGGGCTGTTGCAGCCTTTACGGCAGCCTTTACATCACACATCCAACAGCGTGTCCGAAACCCCACACACACACAAGGTTGCACCATGTGGCGCCTGATAGGTGATTCGTCCGATGCCTTGCCTCAGTCGCGCTTCAGGTGACTTGAAATGCAGCCCGTTGAAGGAGAGTGGCAAGACGTGTGTTTTCGCCGTTGTCGTCTGTGGGCATGTGAAACTCCTGTAGCATCGGCTTAAAGGCAGCGCAGTATTATTGTGCCTGTGCACACATCATTCTCAAGGGATGGTCGGCTCACTCTGGTGTCGGACGACAGAGTGACCATGCCACTGCTTGAGCTCGAGCCGCAAACCCTGGAATCGCTCTGATCCCTGCAGGAAGAGACCCACGAACGACTAAGGGCCCAAGCTTGTCAAACTTCTTGAAGCACTCGAAAAGCTGCTGTCGGTCGAACTTCACCCGCCGCTCGATCAGCGCAGAGATGAACTCCTGGTGCTTCCCCAAAACCCACAGACGATGGCACTACGAACACTAGGGCTGTCTTACTGAGTTCTTCCATTGGAGCCGCGTGATACGTTCTCTCAGGGGAAGACGGGACCTCATAGGCATCCAGTCCATGGATACCCGTTTTGAGGTGTGGGCTGTGGACTTGGTCGGACGTAGTTGCCCCTATAACCTGAAGGTCTAAAGCCTTGCAGCACCGAAACGCAAGTTTGGCTGCCTTGTAGCCGATGCGCTGGCTGCCGCTTCCGTCCAGGGCAGCCATCACTTGCTCCAGCTCCTTGGTACTCATCTCGTAGCCTGAGCTTTGAGTCTAGTCTTCGCGCCGCGGGGGTTGGTTTCGCAGGCTTGGGATTCGTGATCCAGCTGAAACGAGTTGGGGTGTTCGAGTTTAGTCTAATGGTGTAAACTTCTGCAGACGGCTCGAACCTTTCAAACTGGGCGTCTGCTTTTGGTCGCCCTCCATGGTACGGCCCCTCCAGTCGGACATATCTTTGACTCGATTGCTCCCTACGAACTTGAGAACAGTATTTTAGGTTGACAAGCTGTATAAGCCCTCAACCACCCTAAACCCTAGGCCCTAAACCCTAAGCCCTCAACCCTTCAATCCTGATCCCTCCAACCTGCCAGACTCGAAAATCTTGACGAAGCTTGACCGAAGGCCTGTCCACACCCATGTCGTAACGTGTTTTGAGGCCCTAGCCGACATGGCGCATTCCCTCAACAAGCTCCTGGACGCAAGGGTAAGGGCTTTGGGAGCTGAGGATTCTAGAGAGAGGGGTTCGGGACACGGGATTGGACGTTTACACTTTACCAAAAATCCGCGGCGTTTGGGATTTCAGTGTCTGTAAACTTAAGAATGTTCAAGCAACCGCTTCCTACACTACACAAACTGCCACCTGCAATATCAATGGCTCGGGCCGTCTGGGTTTCGGGTTTAGGGTGCACATGACCATATTTGGAGGCCGGGGAAGAAGGGCTCGACATGTTTGCGTTTTTAGGGTTTGGAGGAGGGTTTTGGAGAAATGTTTGGAGGGTGAGATTTTGCAGATCGGTGCGCCCGACAGACGATGCGCTTTGGGCTAAACCCGCAAGACGTGAGTTTGCAAGCCCCCCCACCCAGACGGTTCGATGGTTCAAGATGGGAAGAGAAACCTCAGACCGAAAAAACATCGGCCGGGCTTCACTATATTGAACCCCCCCCCCCCCCCCCCCCTCCAGAACAGCTGCGCGATCCTGTTTAGAGCGGCAATCTTGACTTTTGTAGAGGGGTCCCCAAGAGAAAGCACATCCAACATTACTCCAAACCTTGGCACTCTACCCTAGGAACCGCTTCGGGGTTTTCAAACTATTCCCGACTTCCCCCCCCCCCTTACTTCTTAGTAGGGAATGAGCGAATTAGGCCCAGGGATTATACCCTAAACCCTAAACCCTAAACCCTAAACCCTAAACCCTAAACCCTAAACCCTAAACCCTAAACCCTAAACCCTAAACCCTCCCTCATTCCTTACTAAGAACCAGCCAGTCCTCGGGCGAGAGGAGCCCATCGCCATGGGTGTCCAAGGCCATGAACTTGGCCCTCAGCTCCTGCACGTCACGGCTTCGGTCGTTTAGGGTTTAGGGTTTAGCCTAGGGTTTAGGGTTTAGGGTTGAGGGTTTAGGGTTTAGCCTGAGGTCAGCTCGTGATTGCTTTCTTTTGATCTTTCTTGATCGGGGCTAGAAGTTGAAAAGAACGCACTGCAATTGCACACATGCACTAACATAGCCAGGCTTTTGAAGTAGGAGGAGCCTTTTGTGTTTCGCGCTTCGGATGTGGGCTTAGTCATCGGGGCTCAAAGGTGTTGCAACCGTGGGGCTTCAGGCTTCGAGGTCCCAAAACACCTCAAGCTCCCAAATGCCTTCTCTCTGCTCCGGGCAATTCACGACATTCCTTTCTCGTGCTTCGTTCACTGGAAAAGGTCGGCTGCAGGTCAAGCAGAACGCCTACCACACCCAACATCTTCAAACCTCGGTCTCCGAAGCGAACTCCTAAGCCAACAAGGCTGAGTCAAACTTTGGTTCCCCACAACGACTTCCTACCCACCCAGACACGCGAACCCAGAAGGCGTAATCAATGACTTTTTTCGCTGTTCTTGGGCTCCTCTTCCGCATGGATTCAAGAATGGCCCGCGTTGGCAAGAGCCAAAGCCTTACGCCGCTTACGCCCCAAAGGCACTCGAAACCAAGCCCCCCACCTGGATCTGGAACTCACTGAGCTCTCGTGTTAGCAACTGGAGGACGGCCCGCTTCAGCTTGTTGTAAGCCTGCACTCGCACTCTGAAACTCCCAACCCCAGACTCCTATAAGACCCTTAAGCCGCGAATCCCCACAACCTCGAAACCCTAAACCCGAGTATCCCTTATGACATCCAAGCCAGCTGCCAGTCGCAGCATGGACATGCTGGGTTTCGTTTCCTTTTGAGGCTCTTTTGGCTCCCTCTCGAATCAACATCACTGGTCACTAAGGTGCATATCCTCCGTGGCTCAATACAAATGAAATCGCCAGAGATGGACGGGTCCGCTGTAACGACAAATACTCCCAAAGCCATAGCACAGAAAGAGATCACGAAGTCATTGCAGGCCCTCTCTAAGCACTGCTGGTTGATTTCGCATAGACTTACCCACACACCTCCGGGGCTTCTTCGCAATGCCCCACGAACCCCAAAGCTGTAGGGAGTTACAAGCTGAAGGTGTGGTGCCTGGTACTGCTTCAAGCCGTCGAAGATTGAAACCTTGCAAGGGCAGCACGGAAACCCCAAAGCCCTCAACCCAAGACGCCATCCCCAAAACCCTTCAGCGTCCCAAACTTGAAGGCTGGTGGCCACTTTAGGAGCTGGCCACTTTAGGAGCAAGGATCAAGGTTATCAAGGAGAAACCATAGAGTCGATATGGCGTTCTATCTGAAATCTGAAAGAGACGACGGGATGTTTTCTGACACGGGTGTAGGACGGAGGGTGACGGACGCTACAGAGAGTCCTACTTGAGCCTGTCACGCGCCTCCCCGCCCTCGAATGGTACTTGATGTCATTGGATATCAGGCTGGTTTAGCGGCGTAGTGTTCACAAATGTCGGGATCTTGGGGAAAAAAGAGCTTGATGTCTTGATGTCGTAAGCTGAAGCTGAAAAACTTTGGGATAGCTGTTTCCGGTCGTTGGGACCTGGACGCCTCTGAACTCTACTTCCCTCAGCCTCTGGCACTCAGGCCCTCCACGTTTCCGAAGGGCGATGGCTTCGATGGGTCTCGGAACCTGCCATGTTCGGGCGAGTCTCATTTTTTGGAAAGCTGGAGACCTTGAAGCTGGAGGCCACAAGCTTGCAACCCCTGCTATACTTGCCAAGCCCTAAACCCCAGGGGCACTGGTAAATGAGTGGGCTGAACGGTAGCTCAAGCAGCTTAGAGTTTGGGTCTCGATACCTATCCCGCAAGGGTGCGGAGTTCCGATAAAGCTTTTCAAAGCAGTTTACACACCAGTCTTTCTCCCGAGAACACTTCAACCCTTTTCGGTACCCCACTTTCTTGTCATGTATCGTCAGCGCGGCCCCCGCGCTGAAGCAAAACCCTTGAGGTCTACGGTTGAGAGCTGCAAGCCAACATTGCAGATTTGAAGCTGCAGACCACCAAAGCCCTGTAGGTCTCTAGAAAAGCTGGGTTGGCATTTGAACTCTCTGAAAAGTATTTATATATAGGGTCCCTTTAATAAACCCAAATAAGGAAAATGAAACACGTCCCAAGTCCCAAGAACCAACCTAGAAAGGAAGCGCGCTGGCCAGGCCATTCGTGCGCCAAGGCCTGCGACGCGGAGAGCCGCTTAGTGCTGTTCTTCTCCAGCAGCTTTCTACCTGGGCTGGGCCAGTTTCAGGTTTCAGCTGTTTAGGGTTCGGGGTTTCCTCCAGGGTGCAAGGTACTTTGTGTGATGAGGCTTCAGGTCATCGTATGTCAAGGCCGGGTCCGCAGTGTAATTACCTGCTGCAGGTTGTTTAGACGCTCGTCTATAAGAGCCATTGAGAGCTCCGCAATCCGCGAGCCCGCAAGCCGTGCCGATGAGTCCGAACCGATTCATGACTCGTGAGGGCTTGTCTGTGCCAACAATCCAGCTCAAGTTTCTTCGAGCACTCTGACAGATGCCATCCTGACACATTCCCTCTCTCTGCCACTGTGTCTGCATATCTCTCTTCTCTCTCTCTTCTCTCTCTCTTCTCTCTCTCTTCTCTCTCTCTCTCTCTCTCTTCTCTCTCTCTTCTCTCTCTCTTCTCTCTCTCTTCTCTCTCTCTTCTCTCTCTCTTCTCTCTCTCTTCTCTCTCTCTTCTCTCTCTCTTCTCTCTCTCTCTTCTCTCTCTCTTCTCTCTCTCTCTCTCTCTTTGTCTCTCTTCTTCCTTCCTTCCATTGCACTTTGTCTCTCTCTCTCTCTCTCTCTGTGCCTCCGTCATCTTATCTACTTGTACTGGTCTCACACTCGCAGACTCTCGCACTCTCGCCCTTGCACTTGCACACACGCACGCACAGACACACTCGTTCTATGCCTCGTTCACTCTCTTGCTCACTCTCACGCCTCTCCAGGCCCCAAGCCATAAACACAAAACCAAATCCGCAATCTCTTGAGCCCTAAACCCATAATCCGGCCGAACGACACAAGTCGCACGCAGTGGGGGAAACTTGTGCCCAGATATCGCTCGGAAACCTCGGCGTGGCATTGAGCGGAATAGATAGGAAAGGTTTTAGGGCATGTTATGGGCACGTTGTTCGACGCTCCGGACCTTCGAGCTCTGCCGGGCTCTGAGTGTTGACTTCGCCGCACTACTCTCGCCATCTACTAGTTGCTTGAGAACCCCCGCAACAAAAAATCAAAAAGAAAATAGTAATCCCTGTCTTGCCCTTACATGGAATATTTCGTTTATTCTTTGGGGGTTCTTAAGCAAAGAGTGGTCATCTCCTCCGACCTGCAGTCTTCTACGCTGCGCCGCTGTGCTCCCGAAAACGAGCGGTTTTCTTCAATCGGGTTCGCGGTTGTTGTGTCAGGGGCTTCGCGCCTAAGAGACCTGAAGGTGGAGTTGTACAGAAGCCCAAGCCCTCAACACCAACCCACAGATTTAGAATCTCAGGCCCTAGACGCTTCGACTCCTAGAACCTCCGACGCCAGGCTTTCATATGACTCTAGGTCTATCGACTGTAGGTGCCGCGGAATGTGGCTTTAAAGCTCAGAGGGGCTTCGTAAGGTTGCAAGTTCAGGTTTTCGGCCTTAAAGGTTGTCAGTTTGGCTTTCGCAGGCCAAAGCTAATCCCCACAAGCCCGATTTGATTAGATTCTGAGCTCAAGGGTTCAAGTTCCAAATCAATCGCACACAGTTCGGTGAGTTCAGGTGTTGACCTCCACTACGTGGCCAACAGCAAATACTGGGCAAAAACACTCTCACAAGGTCCACGACTGGACGCTGGCCTTCAAAACTGGTTCAACTCCAGCAGAAGCCCCAAGATAAGCCCGGCAACCTCCTAAACTCTCAACTTGGGAACCTTCTGCCCTGAACCAAAATCATCAGTGGGGCTGTGGCTGGACAGGGTCAGGGCTGGAGATCTTGGCGCGAACCGCCCTGGGAAGGGCAAGTGATGGGGGTTGATGTGTGGGCGGCTGAGGGAAAGTGCTTCGTGCGCGTGCTGGCCTAGAGGTCGCCAAAGGTACTTTGATCTTGAAAAGTCTGGGCCTTGTGGGCCTCTGTGTTTTAGTTGGTGGTCGTGATGATGCAATGCTTATGCGGAGGGGCAAGCTCGTACCAGCAACAGCCGCCGTGCCCTCTGGGTCTCGATTTGGTGAGTTTATATCCAAGGCAACTGGCCATGAAACGAAGGCCCGATAATTCTTCAGGGATTGCGGGCCTCAACCATAAAGGGCCCCAAGCTCAGACTCAGGACCCAGCGTTTCATCATCGCCTGGCGTGTAAAATGGGTGCCAACCTCGGTGGCAGCTTCGCAGTCCGCAGTCCGCTCTCCACAGCAGCGCAGCTTCTTTCAAGGGTGCGCCTTAATGTGGGCACCCTGAGGAGCAGGGTTTGGGGTTGGGGGTTTGGGGTTTGGGGGTCTGGGGTTTAGGGTTTGGGGTTTGGGGTTTAGGGTTTGGGGTTTAGGGTTTAGGGTTATTGTACTCTGCCAAAGGAAAGGATAGCCAACAACACGATAGATGTCAACATCGGAGCCATGGAGACATGAAGCCCTGAACTTGAAAGCCTGTGCAGCCCCGAGCCAGTTTCAAATCACTCATGTCCCCCAACCTCTCCAACCAATCTTAGGTATCAAAGAGATCCTCGGGACCCGAGCCGGTGAAGAGCTGACAGAGAATTATTCCAATACCTTGCACTTCGAAAGAAGCAGAGTGACAGCAGAGTGGTATCACAGAATGCCAAATGCCACTCGCTACCACAAATTTGGATAATGATGAAGCCTAGTCAGGGAAAGCACAAGAGTGAAACAGGTGGCACCTTTTGACAAGTCTTACATTTGAAGCCACATGCGGTGCAGACCCCGCGTGTTGTTTCAAAGGGCAAACACATGTACAGATGAGGCTTCGGCAAAAGGAAGCTGACTGCGGGAGCAAGCAACAACGTTTGACTGCTCTGCGAGGAAGGGTTGGAAGAGAAAATCACGTGGAGCCATGAAGCCCACGGTGAGGGGGACCAATTTCGTGCAGAGAATTGTAGTCTTCGAGATATGTTCGTTAGGAAAACCCTTAGATTCATGCCTGTCGTTGTTTCTTCTTGAGGTCTCCGTGAAGGGTTCAGACTTGCAGCGTTTTTAAGTCTGGATTCACGGCTTGTCAGAGTAACGTGGGTGGTTTGGACTTGCGGAAATGCAGGAGTTGGGTTCACGACTTGCAGGGGTGCACAGCTTGGGGACTGCAGCCCTCAACCTATATAAACCCGAAACGTGAAACTCGAACCCCGTCTCTGACAGCAAGGCCTTACCTATCCACCCAGAGGTTTCCGGGCTCAGGGTTTAGGGGTTTGGTGTTGGCTTAGGGGTAAGGGTCCAGGATTTAGGGTTTAGGGCTTAGTGTTCGGGTGGGCTTTGGCTTAGGCCTCGGCTTGAGGGTGCAGAAAGACTTTTGAAAGGGATGGAGGATTCCACAAGGTTTTGGGTTGAAGGCTGTCCGAGCCGGTGATTTCGCGCCTGTGATTTGTTCCACGCCATCAACCCGCAACCATTACCCCGCACGCACGCGCGCACACGCGCACACGCACACACACCCTAAACCCTAAACCCTAAGCCCTAAACCCTAAGCCCACACGCACACTACAAATACAATACAAAGGCTTGAGAATGCCAGGCGCCGGACTAAACAGGTCGGCCTTGTGGTCGTACGACCTACGCAGGAAGGCGAATTGTAAGGCGTTTTTCGGGAGGGTCTTCGAGTTCAAAAAGATTAAGTTAAGGTTGTTTGGAACTTACTGGAGTCGTGTCGTAATGCAAACCCTGAACCTTAACAAGGAGCAAGCCCCCCAAACCCCTAACCCTGAACCCTGCAGTCTAAATCCTAAACCCTAAACACAAAACCAGTGTCTTCAGCTTGGGGATCGCTGGCCGATCCTGTGGAGTCATGGCGGTGTGCCCCAGAAATCCCCAGGCGTGCCATGGGTCCAAAGAGCTCTGAGTTGAGGGTTTAAGGCTTAGGTTTTAGTGTGTAGGGTTTAGGGAAAGGCTCAAAAAACATCTTGACACTCAAATCTTGTCTATGTGGGTTAAGACTTCCAGCCGGGGCGCCCTTCAATCATCTCAGGCGCCATATAATGCGGCGTGCCCGCTTTCTGCATGACCTGCGTTTCGGATCGGTGTTAGCCCCAGGGTGTGGCGCGTTAGGCTTTGGGGATGTTCAGGGTTTGATGGAGTTCTGATCGTCCTATGACCCCCAAACCTGTGTCAGCCCATGCGCAAGTAGTAAGACGTTTTAAGTTCTTGTCTCATTGTTCTGGCGTGGGGTTGGGAAGCACCGAGAGGCGACGATTTTCCGAGGAAGGACAACCTCCTCACGCAACCACGGTGGCACGAACAAGGCCAAGAGGAACGTAGCAACATGTAGCCTCATGTAGCAAGCTAAATGCATAGATCGGCATCGCGATCGTCAGAGCCAGTCTCAACTCCCAAGCAGTTGCACTTTCAAACTCCACACACACACAGACAGACACACACACTTACACGCTGTAAGGGGAATACCCTTGAGGTTGGGAGCCTGTTTTGGCCACATTCTTGGTGAACAAAGCAGCTTTTGAGAGATCGGGACCCTGCAAACACACAATAGATATCAAGCCCATCTTCGCAGTCACAACCCCTGATTCCTCAACCCCAAATCCCCTTACATCCTGAACCAAAGATCTTGTTGCAGATCCTAAACCCCTATGCCCGGCAACCTTCAATTGGGGGCCAGACGCGCTTGCGCTCATGCCAGGGAATTAAATGTCGGCCGTTGACGGAGGGCCTTAGCGCACTTTACACAAGAATCGTGGAGCTTTTGGTTTCCATAAGCAGGGAGGGTGTTCAAACGACACCATAAAATGCTTAAGCCACACCCTAAACCCTACCTCAACCCGACGAGACCAACCAAAGACCTGCTTGAACCCTACTGCCTTAGCGACCCCAAACCCCAACACTCAGTGATGCTTTCGGTCAGCTTCGCACAGGAGGGAGAAGAGATGGCAGACCACGGCCAAACCGTCAGAAACTCAAATCGCCACACCCAAAAAGAATTCTCCTCACCCCAGTCAAGCATTCCTCTTCGGGCCCAAATACTTTAAGATAACAGCCAACACCATACAACACCCTAAACCCTGAAGCCCTCAAACCCCCAAACCCGAAAACCCTAATTCAAGCCCTAAAACCCTAAAACCCTAACACCCTAAGACCCTAAAACCTCAAACCTTAGACCCTAAACCCTAAGCTCAAAACCCTAACTATCCTGTCAAAACCCTGAGGCCCCCCCCCCAAAGACCCGAAGGCTCGGGCAGCATGCGCGCCAGCCGCCCCATGGTTCCCGACCGTGCGACCTTCACCTCCTTGGCCTGGAGAGAAGGTCATAAAAGAAGTGGATAATGGTGGAAAAAATGTTCATCCTGCACCACCTCCAAATTCTGAGATTATAGAGAGGATTAGGAAAAATATGAAAGGAAAAGAATTAAGATAGAAAAAATATTGACTCTGGGATATATTCTGGAGACCCTTGAAAGATAGGTACAAAATAATTTCCAAATCCTCCAAACAAGCCAGGCATTACTAAAAAGAAGATCATAAGAAAGCCATGCAATGTAATGCTTATACTTGTATTATAGAAGTTCTGGTTTTCTGGAGATATTATCATATTTCCTGATGAGAATGACATTGACAGGTTTCTCATAAAGTAAAATAGGATGAAGATAATGCATCCTGCATTTTTTTGGTACAGCTCTTAACATAGCATATTGGCATAAGAAATACCATTCAGGTACTATATGTAAAGGAGTAAGTAATCCACATGCTTCGAATGCAATATCTGGATGTGAGAAAGAAGAGAAGCCCAAATTCATTTGAAGAAGATATAGATAGAGCATTAATATCTTTCCATAGACTTAGAGGTGGGTTTCAGGTTGGGGGTTTAGGGTTTAGGGTTTTGGGGGTTTTGGGGTTTAGGGTTTTAGGGTTCAGGGTTTGGGGTTTGAGGGCCTTAGGGTTTAGGGTTGGCTTCCGGCTAAGGGTTTCGGAGTTCCGAGTTCATGCTTTGGAGGCTTTGGCTTTGGCTGCAGATAACCCTAGGGGTAGCGATCTGGAACAAGCGTCCGGAGACTCGGCATTCTGCTTGTTTGGGGTTGAGGGCTTTGTAAAGACTCACCAGCCAGGACGCTTTTGTACTTTCGGGGTGCCACAGAGCATTGCAACGTTAACCTTTTTGACGTGCGTAGCATTTTTAGGAGTTCTGAAGTCAAAGGGCTTCGACATTGCAACCTCCGGGCAGATGATTTGCATGTCGTGCAAACTTGGTACGTTCACACAGTTTCAATCTGGCTGAGAGCTCGAGCGTCTACATGTCAGTAGCCGGGTGAGTGAATCCGACGCATGTGTGACATAGGCAAGAGCGTCAAAGAAAACTTGGGGGAGCGATGCACACAGGGCATAGACGAGAGCGCTCAATGCGACAAAAGCGACGAGAACATGCTAACACATGGGGCACAACACTGGACCGGGGAGACATTGAGCAGATCGGCGACACACGGAACTAGCTTACATGGGATCTGGGATCTGTAGCCTAAAGCCCCCAACATCCCCTAACCTTCCGTCCCACAGTTCTGAGATCTGATCTCACCACAGGTCTGGGGATTTCGGGTTACGGGTGTGTGGAAGGTTCGGCTACACAACATTCGGGATGCAAAGCTCACGGCTACTTTGGACTGAGGTGTTGGGTCTGCAAGGCTTTGGGGCTCCATGGTGCTTGCTATTTTAGACTGGCCGTTCCTGGAACCCTAAACCCTAAACCCTAACCGGCCTGTTCCCGGATCTTCTCATGGAAGTTTGCAAGGCCGAAGTCGATTCTGGCCCCGGGACTTGGAGAGTTTAGGGTTTAGGGTTTAGGGTTTAGGGTTTAGGGTTTAGGGTTTAGGGTTTAGGGTTTAGGGTTTAGGGTTTAGGGTCCATCCCTAGTTGTCCCTAAACCTTATCCTCTGAAGCCCTTGAGTGCCTTTCAAAGTATTAAACCCTGCAGACCTGCAGAGCTCTAAGCTTATTATGCACCAAAGAAATTGGTCCGATTCGTTTATGCTTCAACTTTGTACAGACATCTCAGACATGTTAGAGAAGCTTTTGGAAACTTATGAAAGAGACTCAGAAACGAGCAGCTTCGGCAAATCGTGAAACATGCGCTGAGTTCGGCAAAACATCGGAAAACGGTGTGAAACATTAGGGAACTATCGCAGGAAGGATACTCAGGAGCTTGCGGGGAAAGTGTGGAGACTTGTGAAGAATGTTCTTAAGTCGTAAGCTTTTGAAGAATTAATTCGTCACCACATGGAAGGTTGGGAACTCTCGAGGATTCGGGAACACTTGAAGAACACATTTGGCGGGAACATAATCAAGATACGTCGCACCCACCCAAGTTATTAACCCTGACCCGTACCCGGCCTTACCCCCTAACCCATAAACTTGCCTAAGCCCTAAACCCTAAACCCTTAACCTTTGTTAAACTCGAAACCCAGGCCGGCAAGGCATCTTCAGTGGAGAGCTTGCACTTCTATCCACGAAAAGGATGTTCTCCGGCCTCGTGGCACAGTCTTTAGTTGCAGCTTCGCGCTCGATATGGGTTTACTTCCCATGCGGCTTTTCCTCATGAAGGTGTTAACGTTGGGTGACTTTTTAGGGATGTGTGGAGTGGTAATTTAGGGGGGAGTTGAAGTGCTGATGGCATGGTGGAGTTTGATGTGTGGGGGGGGCGGGGGGGGTCCTCGGAAGCTCTTACGGATGATTGCCAGTCGCGCCCCGAACGCAAATCAGGCTTCAGCGCTGGGGGGCTTAGGCACCGTGAGTCTGCAAGAGCGTGTCAGCAAAAATTGGGCTGAGACTTCGATCTTCTCTCAAGCAAAAACTCCCACAGACAGATGTTCAGCATAGTGGCAGACTTCGCTTACCGTAGCAGGCTTCGGAGTTGAAATTGGGCTTTGGAGGGAGCTCCCCGACCTCGACTTTCCCCGCAATCCGGGCTTCTTGGCCCTGCTGCACCCCTCAAACCCTACTTGTAGGGCCTACAGCCCCTACGCCATGAAACGCAGGGGTCAAAAGGAATTTGAAAGTTCACGGCTTTGTATCTGAGGTCTAAGATTGCATTCTATAGGGTGTCGGTTTTCAATGTTCAGGACAGCACCACGCACACTCTCTTTGTTCCGAACGAACACGCGCTACACCTGAAACGGCGCATGCTTGCACCAGCCCTGAGCCAGACAGGACCAACCGCCTGACACCCAAGATCACGCTCCTGGCAGCAGCGAGGAAGTTCGAAACTCCCTGGAACTTCCACGGCCACATGTGCTCAGAATTCCAAATCGCTCTCTGAGGCCTCGGCTTGATATCACGATGGATGATTCCCTTATCGTGACAGTACTTCGTTGCTGAGAGGATCTGCTGCCTTGGACGCAAGCCGAGCCACGCAAACTTGGAGCATGATGAACTTTGTGGCATGAGGACAGGTAGAATTGCTGGAGAACACCTGCTTGCTGAGCCCCCGGCATCATGAACGCCACGTGGCTCTCAGTCATAGGCTGCTTCAACCTCTCCGTTCTCAAGCACTTGCAGGCCGTGTGCAGACATGCTCTGTGCCACTGGCTGTCGGGGTATAAAGTCTACCTTGGGAGGCATGTTCATTTGAGCACCATGCTTCAGGCGATATCCGAGGCTATCTGAACAGGTTTGGTGCTTTGCAGGTCGTAGTTGACATAGCTTTCCGATTCCAGTTCTCGACTCTTTATGAAAAACTCATGTCGCTACAGCAGGCGCGCAAGCACGCCAAACACAAGCATCGATGTGGACTGGCGTCCTCTCGTAGTGATGAAGAATCCGCGAGAAGAGGTCTCCCCCCTCACACAGCTCCGTCACCAGGTAGATGTTGCCTCAGCTTCGATTGCCATGCGGGAGTTCTAAGCATGTGCGGCGAAGGTGATGTAGCGCTTGCTTCTGGCGGGTATGGAGCGTTGGCATCGGCAGCTGTGTTGCTTAGCTCTTGCAAGCTCGTGAGGAGTACTTATAGCCATGTAAACGTGAAGGTTGTGTTGGAGTTCGCGGCGATGGCTCAGGCTTCAGTGTGGAGCTTTAGGGTGTGGGCATTTTGATGAGGCTCATCAACCTGCGTTTGAGGATCCTGTGGGTGCAGAGTGGAGGAGCTTAGCTCATCGGGGGCAATTGGAGCAACTGTGTGAACTGCTTTCAGCACTCCAACGAGTTATCCCACGTCTCATTCCTCTCTCCCGGACCCTGCAGTTGTCAGAAGCAGATTCATAAAAACTAAACCCTAACCCCTAAACCCTAAACCCTAAAACGGAGACAAAACTGGCACCCGCAATCATGCCGATGTTTGTTTTGCCTGAAGCTCGGTTAAAAATTGCTGGTTGCAAAAGGTGCTGTTGACTCTCGAGATGAGGCGAGGGCCACTAGCGACTTGGCCACTCTCCGACGCCTCCGTTCCCGCAATAACAATAAACCCTAACCCTAATGTCAGCAGGTTGGGTAGTTAGGGCCCCAGGGCTCAGGGACAAGGTTGTGCAAGAGCGGCCTTGGAATAGACAGCTGGACTCAGCTTTTTCTTTCTGGGCAGTCTAGCATAAGATAGGAACTCTAAGGGAACCCTGAGTCAGAGCACTCCACTTGTTTTGGTTCTCATGAAGACGTCAAACTCAATCCAGAATCCTCGCTTTGCCAGATGAACCAATACACGCTTTACAGGCAGAGCAACAGAAGCGTCAACCCTGGACCCTGCATCACAAAACCACGCTTCTTGGTGCCCCAGGATCCGGGGTTTGCAGGTGAGGGGTGCAGTGGCTTTCTGAGACCCAGATTCCAAACCTTCGGGCGTTTGAGGATTGCGGGTCTTTGTGAAGGGTTTGAACAAGGCCGGAGGAAGAAACCCGAACAAAAACAAGAAATCATCCGACAAAGACCCTTGGCAAAGCTTAGGCAAGGCCTGCTCGAAGTAGACTTCGTGCATCTTCATGATGTGGGGATGGTTCAGCGACCTGGTGGTGGATGCCCCTTTACAGGGTGCTTCGGGTTTAGGGCGTTTTGGGAGGGATATGGAATTCTTGGCACTGTCACCCCGTTTTCTTTGGAATGCATCTGATATCGAGCACTCACTTTGCAGGGTTAAGGCTGTCGCTTACTCTCTCTCTCTCTCTCTCCCTCTCTCTCCCTCTCTCTCTGTCTCGCCCCGTCCTTAAAGTACTCGGGCCTTCACATTTGTCTCTGCGCACATAGAGTTTAGGCTTCGCGCAAAACTCAAGCCCATTAAGCCCTTTCGTGACTTAAAGTCCATCCAACCTCCATATCCGTAAGAAGCTTACAAAACTTTACCGCGTTTGCCATTGAGACACTTGAGGAGTCGAATCTCGTTGTCCATGAGCTCCCGCTGTAGAGCGGTTTGGACGGCTACCACCTGAGGGAAGGTTCGGGAGCAGGACTTAAAATCCAACCAAGTGTGTAGTGTGCATTGGAGAGGATGCTTGTTGGCAGTTTTAAGCACACAAGCCCAAAGCCCGATTCCCTACATCGCGAAAGCTCCAAAAGCCCTCCTTGCATAGAGCAGTTTCTCTTGCTCATCTGGTAGTCAACCCCAAAACATCAAAAGTCAAGTTCCGTGCAGCGCAGGTCTGACTGCGAGCGGCCACGTTCGACGGGGAATTTCACTGTGTCATCGGCCAAATAGCGTTTACCATGTCAAGCGAAAGCAGTAACGGTGCTTCCTTACCAGGGTTAAAAAGCCCCTTAAGGCCTTAAGTTTTTCGATCGCAACTTGAATTTAGAATATTTTAAATATTTTTCGTGCTCTCTTGCCATCTGCGGCTGGGTGCTTTTGGCTGGGCCGGGGAGGGGGAGAGGGTCGGGGGGGGTGGGGGGGGGAGGGGGCCTGGTTCAGAACGGAAATCGCTGTTTCTTTCCAAGCTCCCGCCCAAAACCCTCAAATCGACTCTCAGCTAGTCTCAGCTCCTTCTCAGCAACTTCCACCTAGTGAGAAACCTTGGAAACGTCTGCTAACAGCCCTACCAATCGTCCTGAGGATGCATAAGCAACTAGTCGAAATGGTGACGGCAGGGGTTCATGTGCAGAGCTTGCTGGCTGTAAACCCCCTAAATACCCCCCCATCTCGGACGCAGCCTTGCAGGCCCTCAGCTGCTTCGTGCTCCTCGGCAAGTTCATCCGGAATACGCAGCCCTGAATCCAAACTCAATCACTCAACCACCAATCAGAAAACTCCTCGAAACCTGAAAGCCTCGAAGCCTGAAAGACCTAGACCAGCACCGGGGTTTAGGTTTCAGGTTCAGGGTTCAGGGTTTAGGGCACAGGTTTAGCGGGTCCAGTAGATCAACCTAGAATCAAGTCACTTCAGCTACTTAAGCCCGCCAGCTCACTTCCTTTTTCTTTTCTCCTCTATCATTCAAGAGGCAAGAAGAAGGAAGACAAAGATGATAACACGAGGGCATAAATGGGAAGACAACGGAGAACGAGGAGGAGTTCTCCGGGTGCATCTCACTACCTGCTTCCTGGCTCCCTCTCTTCTGTAACTTGCCTTAGAAAGGACACAGATTTGTCAAATATTGACTTTCCACTCCATCGGCTGGCCCCTGAAGTTGGGCTTGGCAATCAAGAACCTAACAAAAGCGAAAGGTTTCAGGATTCTGCTTCTTTGAAAAATCGACAGGAAAAAGCTTCTGGCGAGCCCTCTGCTAATGGCTGAGGAATGAGTTTTGGTGACAGATTGTGGGACCTTTTGGGTGGACCACTCGCTCAATTCAGAGTTTCTTGCACACTCTGTGCATGTTCGTTCAGCACGAGGAATAAAAGCTGCTAGTGTCCAATGTGCGTGAGAACGAAAGGTTTCCAATGAAAAGAAGAGTCTTATGTACCAGTACAGAAAAGTTCTAAACATAGTTGTCAGCAGGGACTGTTGCGCAATCAGGCACTGGAGGACAGCTACTGGGACACTCGCGTGCATGGCATCCTCTCTGTCTATGGCAGCCACAAGCAGGTATTGCAGGACAACGACTGTCGCATCCACGACCCGAAGCCGTACGCACTCCCTTTTTTTGAAACAGGCTCCCTTGAATTACTCCCTTCTCTGAGACAGCCGACGAGATCTTTGTTTGGCTTTCTGGGAGCGAAGAAGAGATACGATTCGTGCGTTTTCGATCATCGTTGTGCTGCATCTCTTCTCCTTCAACAGAAGAGGACAGGCCTTCGACGCGGGATGCCAGCTTAGCATGGCTGTTGGGCAACAGAAAGCCTTTCGCCCCTCTCGCAAGACAGAAATGTGAGCGATAGATTTCTTGAACAAGCTTTGTAACACTGCCCAGCCATCTTTTTCGCACTGTCAATACACTCGATTGTCGCGTCGTGAACCGTCACTGAAAAATGGCTTCGCCGGGAAGGAGGGGGGGGGGGGGGGGGCGTTCAGGCAATTTGTCTGCGCGACGGGGTTGGGCCCGTACCAGCTTCCTTGATAGAGACAAAAGAACCTCGTTGCCTGCTTACATAACAGCATGAGGCATGCGTCGCTTGCATAGAACTTTACTTGGTGTTCGACATGCGGCCATCCCCGCCACGGCCTCTGTGGAGACCACGCGCTCCTACTTCACTTCAACTTCAGCCGTTCTTTGTCATCTGATGTGGGCATACAGCTAACTTTTTTGCTAGCCAGGTAATAGGAAGTTCGAAAACTGCGGTGTAACTTCTGAGTGGAAGCGTTTGGAAACGTTCGTCGACGAACCCCATGTAGCGGCCTCAAGATACGAGTTCCGAACGCTGAGCGCCGGACTTATGCCGAACCAGCATGACCTGAGTGGGTGGTGCAGAGATGGGGCTGAACTAGGTCGGGTCGAGATCTTGAATTCTGCGAGCCTTGGGTCCTCCTTTGCTAGCTAGACGCTGAAGCCTGAAACAGTCCTGAAACCCTACATTCCACAGCCCTCTCCATTCGTAGCGAACGCCATACCGCCTTAAACTTCCAAAGGCCACGGGCCCCAAACCAAACGCACAGACGAGCAAACGTTCGAAACTCCCAGAGTTCAAGGTCCTGGGGTTCGGGTTTCAGGGGCTTCCCTTTCACAACTAAACTAGACAACGGACGGCCCGAACACGCTTTACGCAGCGAAAGCCCCGTTATCAGCAGCATCAGCGTCGTCAAATCATCGTCATCATCATGATCAGCACAAATCTCTGCGCGATCCCGCCGAGAACTTCGAGAGGCTGTGACCACCACGTGCACAAGTTGATCTGGTGGCACTCTGTTCTACCGCCTATACGGCATCAGCGAAGCCCCCAACTCCAAACTCCAAGGCAGCGAAGCAGCCATGCACAGACTGAGATCCGGGCCTTGCCAAAGGAGCCAGAGCCCACGTCTCCGCAGAAGAGATAGTCATCAAAGATTGCCAGACGACCCACGTGGGTGGGAAACATAACCTGGCAACCCGAGGCGGAGTGACCCCCGAACCTTCTGGTGCTGATGTCGCCTTATCTTCATCCACGATGGATCTTGTGTTGTGCGCGTCATGGGCGTCGGTGGGCATCCGTGGGCGAGCGTGTGCGAGCGCGCATGCGTTCGTGAGCGTGTCCCCATCAAGATTGTTTTGTCTACGATTTACCTCAAATTTCAACTAAAGCTTAAAGTGAACAATAAAGAACAGCAAAAATTGCGTATAAAAGACATGAACACACACACACAAAAGACATTATTTCGAAAAAACCAAAATGCATAAGACGTTGATTGTAAAGAATCGACCTGAAAGCGCATAGCAAAAATCAACTTCACCCGTCTCCCCCCTCCCCTATTACTTCTTCTTGGCGATCCCACCCCGCTTCTTCTTGCTTACCCTTGCACCTTAGCATTAGAACCCTAAACTCGCACGTAGACCCTCAGCCCTCAGCCCTCAGCCTTAAGTTGCTAACCTGCGGAAGAGAAAAACTCGGCCCGGAACCCTCCAGAAACCCTTGTGACCTCTGTATCCGTGGATCAGGATCTGCCGAAAGAGCGGCCATCTTCGGTCTTTGGCATCCCTAAACCCTTAAACCCCAAACTCTAAAAGAGCTCCTCAAGGCCCTGGGCCCTTGAGGAAAACGCCTCACCCAACTTGCCAAACTGCGCCTCCGACGCAATGTTTGCGGCCGTGGCCCGCGAGATGCCGCTCTGGTTCCGGAGCAGCGACTCAGGTGCCTACGACATTTTCTACCACGAAGCTCTCTCGGTTTGTTTTCGCTATACAGGGTTCCCCTACATCGTCGTGCACCCAGCGAGCGGGGGTGGGGGGGAGGGGAGGGCGGGACTACGTGAACGTGAACAACTTCGTCCTTCGTATGCGTTTTTGGTTTTCATGTGGGCAGAGATGCTCAGAGGCCTTCAATGCTTGAAGCAATGTGTCAAGGGCATCTCCTAAAAAAGGGAGAAGGGTGTTCTACGATGCTGTAGAACTGGTTGATGCATTGCATTGCTCCAGAACTGCAATAGCTACGCAGTAGAGATGGCTTCGCAAGTATCAGTCAAGGTTCGTGCTTCGGGCTAATTTCCTTCCAAAGATCTGTCAACCCACGTGATTCATTCCAATTTCTTCGAATTCCACCTGTCGCACTTATCACCTGTCAAGATCGAAGCACTGACTGCTTGCGGAGACTTGGCCTGGCTGTAGTTGTCGGTCTTTCGGTGGCCATAGTGGGAGGGGTGGTCTTTGGGGACTCGCACTGCTCATGATGCAGTATCATGATGTACATGTCGGCCTGTATCCAAAGCATTCTGCTCGGAAACCTCTCGCTTCTGCCCAGTTTTCTTTGTCACGCCTCATGTGCTTGGTACTTTACTTCCCCCCCCCCCCTTTCCTGGTGCCGCAAACCCGGAAAAGCCAAAGCAATGAAGCCTTTTGGCTCAAGTCCCTAGTCCCACCTCTGACTCATCTTGAGAAGGCGCCTGTGATCCTCTGCCTCCCAGGTGTCTTCCACATGTGCAGCTTCTGTTTATGCTTTAGATGCCTGTGGTGTGTTTAGGCTGCTCCTGCCGGTTGGGGCGAGCTGGGGCTTGTGGATTTAGGGTCCAGCCTTTCATCACCTCTTCGCCTCACCGCTGCTCTTGAGGGGGTTTATGAGATTTCGTGTGTAGATCTGAATTTGTATATTTGTAGCCTTATTGCCTTTGGGATTGCCAGCGTTGACGTCGCTCCCATTAGACCGTTAGGCCGTGACGTGCAATTCAAGAAAGGATGTGAGCCGAACTTCTGCGGATTATAAGGTAACCTGAACCCGAAAAAAGGGAATAAACAGGGGCCAAGAAGGTAACCTAAATCTAAACCCCTAACCCCCAAGCCCCTAAACCCAATGACTCCTAAGGGCCTAAACTGAGTCTTAGGGGGGGCAGCTTAGAGCTTCAGACGACGTCTGAGGGCGCGGCTGGGAACCGAGGTCGGCATCTCGCGGATCTGCTCAGGTCAGGTCTCGTTTTTAGGGTTTAGGGTTTAGGGTTTAGGGTTTAGGGTTTAGGGTTTAGGGTTTAGGGTTTAGGGTTAGGGGCTTCAGGGTACGGCGGTTTTTGGGGTTTTGGGTGGGGCAGGACAACTTTACGCATTCACGAAGCGAAGCTAAGAACAACTTCGAGTCCGGAATGTGCACGGGTCCCCAGCGAGAACGTGGTTTGGCACACGCCGCGAAGCCAAAAGCATGCTTTTAGGGTTTAGGGTTGCGGGGAGCGTCGCACGGGAACGGTACCTCGGCAGCAAACCGCGAGCGTTATCGATTTCCTCGCCCCTCGTTGTCGTTACCCTGAACGTAGCACCCCGAGTGCAAGCACCGTAGCTTCCCCAGCAACAAAATCCTTCAGGGTTTAGGGCTGAGGCTTCGGGGGGTTACTGTGGGATAAATGGCTGAAGAAATATGGGAGAAGGGTTTCGGGCTTAGGTTTCAGGGCATTAGATGCTTCAGGCTGAAAGTTCGGTTCAAGATTTCGACGCACCGCAGAGAAGCCTCCTGCGTGTCTGACGGACGTGGAGCATGCTCGAGCTGCTCAAACTGCGAACTCAACATACACCAGCACAAAGCAATTGCAATTTCTGGCAGTTGGAGTGCTGGCAGCCTTCTCCACTGCGACTTGGTCGCTTGAGGGCCGAGCCCGACCTCAGTGCTTTAATTGGGGGCTCGCCATTTCGGCTTCAGCGTTTATGTAAAGATGTAGGGTAAATCTGCTGCTGGCAGGGATGGTTTGGGATGGGCTGCAGGGTTGTGAGGGGTTGGGCTTGTTGCCCTTGGAAATGTGCCGCTTTGCCGCTTTGCTGTGCATGTGGGCTTCAGGATCCTTCGGGACAGTCAAGGGCAGAGTCTAGCATCCCCACGCTACGGAGCTCAGTCCGTTCAGACATTCAGGATCTTCGGAACTCAAGGCGTCTGAAGTTTGTGTGGTTCCGCTGTAGGGCTCAGAGTTGAGAAGACCGAGGCCCCCTAAACTTTCCTTAAGATTTGAACTCTTAAGTGACATCAAGGCACCCTAAGCCCTGGACCCTAAGCCCACACCCCGAAGCGCAGCATCGTTTTGAGATGAGTCGGGCGGGACCACCTCAGCCCCCCAGGCTCCCTTAAGGAAGCCTTCTACTAACAGTCCTTCATAGGGATCATCATAAGGGGTACTGTAGTCAGTATAAGGGGGAACATCCAAACTCCAAAAGCACCCTCGAAGCGTTTTCTAGTGAACCCGCTTCGGCCTCCTCCAGCGTCTGCTTCCTCCCCAGCCTCGGCCTCAAGGGCCAAGGGCCAATGGTGGAAGTGGGGGGTTGGGGGGGAGGGTTTAGGGTTTAGGGTTCAGGGTTCAGGGTTTAGGGTTTAGGCTTTAGGGTTTAGGGTTTAGGGGGGGGGGGGGGGGGGGGGGGGGGGGGGGGGGGGGGGGGCGGGGGGGAGGGTGCTCAGAGTTGTGGGATGCTTCGGCATGGCTCGTGGCTTTTGCGGAAGTATTGTTGCGCCGATTCGGGTTTGCCCTGGTGGGCTGGAGGTCTGGCGTCTTGGGTTAAAACTATGTACAGACCAGCGGACTGACCAGCGGCCGGGCACTTCCCGGCAGAGTCTTTCGGCTTGCCAGTCGGAAAAGACTTGCGTTTCTACATGGTCGATTAACTCCTCTCTGGATTCTTTCTGGCAGCTGTCAACTGCCAACAGGAAGAACCTCACACCACACATCATCCACCTACTGTGTCAGCCCCGGCCCGCTTCACGGCATGGTCTAAGTTGTTCGTGCATGTTTAGGGTGCCTAGGCCTGAAGCACCTTCAACCACTGAGTCCCGAGAATCGATTTGCTGCACAACTACGTCGAAACCGTCCTCGAAGCTCTCTTCCCAACCCAGTGCGAAGGCCGCATTGCGAAGCCCAACAATCAACAAGGCCGCGATCCGACGTGAGCAAGGCCCGAAGACAAGGGGTGGAAATTCAGACGCTCAGGTTGACAGTTTTAGGAAGTCTAGGGCGTTTGCTTTAGGGCTTACCTAAACGGACCTAAACCTGTCACATAGCCAAAAGTCCATCCTATAACACCTGAGCCCAAAGATCCCGCGAGCCGCCGAACTCCCAAGCGCGAGAGCCCCGCCAACTAAAGCCTCAATTCTCAGATTCCAGGTGTTCCCTTCCTTGGGGAAAACCCTACACCCTTAAACCCTAAACCCTAAACCCCAAACCCTAAACCCTTCCCGGTGGAGGGAGGGGGAGCCCAAAGGCCTGAATCTCCTCGGCCTGTCGAGGAGCAGAGAAATTGAGAGTTGAGTCTGCGTTTGGGGTTGCGGGTGTAGGGTTTAGGGTACAGGGTTCAATGGTGCATGGACGTGGCTGGTCTCCGGAGGATTTTGGGTGGGGCGTGGAGAGTTTCAGGCTCGAACTTTCTGGAGGGCTGCGAGAACCTATTGGCCAAGATGTCCATTCAGCCCATTCCTGGTTAGCTAGCGGCTGTGAGGGGCTTGGCTTAGCTTCTGTCTTCCGGATATTTCAGGATGACCGCGGCAGCTGTGTAAGGCTTCGGGAAAGCTTTGAAAAATTTAAGACCAGATTGAGGCTTGTAGGGGCCCGGAAACCATGAAGCCCTCAGCTCATCGCCGGAACGTGGCGCCCCAAACTTCAAAACCGAACGATCGAAGTACCAGGCTGTTGCAAGATGTAGGGGGCCCGGCGGCCAGAGCCAGGAGCCGATATCGGAAACATTCGGTTTCAGGGTTTAAGGCTTAGGGTTTAAGGGTTAAGGGTTTAGGGTTTAGGGTCCACATCCTGAATTCTGAGCCCAACTATGCCTTGATAGCACACGCGTGCACCCAAACTTCAGCCGGCAGCACATGGTCCGACGACGCAGATACTGCTCTATGCGCCTGGGCTTGAAAGACCCAGAGGAAGCTACTTCAACCCGGTCTACCCGGCGCTGTCTGGACATTAATTCAAACTCAGACACCCAGGGCCTGAAACAGCAGGCCTCACCACCCTCAAACCCAACCCTGGACAAAATCTACTCACCCATTACCCATTGCTCCCAGTGGCTGTGTGTTTCTTCTTTGCTGCAATTTTCTAACTCTGGATTTGGCAGCCTATGCCTGCAGATCAATTGCTGCATCATCCCTTCATTCCCCTACCGCTGGCCTCCTGCTCAGGCCCGTTTTGCCTAAACACGGGGCTTCTAAGACTCAAAAGCCTTTGCTACCCGCTTTCTCAGCATCAGGCATGTGCCGCTGGCGTGCCCCAGCCTGCAGCCTTTGCGAGAGACCCCCACAACTCCACAACCCCCGACGCCGAGTTTTTGTTGGTCTCTTGAACTCGCCCCCCGACCTCTGAGGTCAAGCGGCGCAATGCGCCGGGGTCCTAGCTGCTTCTGCTTTCCAAATTTAAAGCCCTGCCAACACACCCGTGTCGGCTTTTGCTCGGAGAGGCTTCGGCTCTAAGGTCGGAGGCTTAGATGCTTCCCCAGGGGTTGCTATGACTGTCAAGGGATAAGGGACAACCCTCTAAGACTTTGAAAACCTCAGAGCTACTCGGGCATCGGCAGAGGAGTCCACCGATGGGGCGAGCTGGGACCTCAGCGTCTGCGTTTTCAACGCCTACAGCAGTGGACTCCCTCACTGGCACCCTCAGGGATTGAGGCTTTGACGTTGGTGTGCTCAAGGACTTGAGGCGCTTGTTGAGAGGTGTTAAGGCTTGGGATGGCTTACTGAGTGTTTGTATAGGCCTGAATTGAAAAGTCTCAGTGGAGTTGTTGCTTGGAATGCAGAATGATGCTCATGAGGCGACCTTGCTGGAAGAGCTGATCATCACTACTCCGAAGTCACCGGGGACATGAACCGAAAGCTTTGGCTGAACGCCTCTCAACCCCACATGCAAAAGGCGATGCTATAGGTTTCAGCGGGCGCGGAAGCTGAAAGGTCAAGCCTTGGACTCTGGGACCTGAAGGCTCTCATGCCTTCATGCATTGCAGGTTCTGGTTACCCTAAACCCTAAACCCTAAACCCTAAATCCTAAACCCTAAACCCTAAACAAACTCCGACAACCCTAAGCTCTACGTCGCACAAGGCTTCTCAAAATGAAACCTGATGTCCAAACCACTCAAACCGTTAAGTCCCAAGCTCAACTCTTTAATCCCATGGCTCAGTAACTGCAAAATGCCCCTGAGACTCTCAGACCTTACCGCCTCATCTCGTGTCGGACTGAAACTCTCCAGGGGCTTTCCAAGTCGAATAGAGGGGGCCTTAATAATTGGAATAGAGTTATTTTAGAGTTATTACAGCTAGGGACCAGAAAGGAACTACTCGTAGTACTTATTCCGACCCCATAGTCTAAGCACGCATTGCAGCCAGAAGGCCCCTCGGCAGACTTCTGGCTTTCCCGACCAGAGTTGGGCAAGATCTCCTGCTTCTGCTCGGGTGGCTGAAGTTGCTGGAGCTGCTGATGCTGCTGCTGCAGCTGAAGCTGCTGCTGCTGCTGCTGAAGCAGCAGCTGCTGTTGCTGCTGCTGCTGTTGCAATTGCTGCTGCTGCAACTGCTGCTGTTGCAATTGCTGCTGTTGCATTTGCTGCTGCTTAGATGTCTGTTGCTGCTGCTGCTCCTTTTGCTGCTGCTGCTTTTCTCGCTTCTTTTGGTGGTGCCTTGGCATGGAGAAAGTCGCGGTGGATGGGGCGAGAATCCTAGCCAGTCAAACTGCCGCAGGTAACTCAGTCAGTCTAAATTCTCTGCTACCACTCAGAACAAAGGTTCTTCAGAGAGTGTTGCCGGGTTACGCAGGGCTCCGTCTACAGGCTTTCCAGGGTTTGACATCCTTCTTTGCCCAAGGCTTCGAACTCCAAGCATACCCCTGCCGCCTGACCATACAGACTTTCCCAAAACCCTTGTAACCCTAAAGGTTCAACTGCTTCCTTGACCCTTCTGGTGTTCGTCTGGCTCAGACGGAGAATTTTGATGCACGATGATGGCTGCGGACAGGTTGGCTACGAGGTATTTCGCAAAAGCACTTCTGCCCGACTCGGGTGTCAGGGATCCCGGCGCTCTTCTTTCGAGGTTCGGAAGCGGCTTTACGGTTCAGGGGTTGTTTTGGGTTTGGGGCTTCAGGTTACCAGTTCCAGGTTCTTGAAGTTCCATCACTCGGGCTTGTGATTTCACAGTTGATCATGATACGCCTTCTGTTCATCTTAGACAAAGACTGAAACAAGTGTGACGGCTGCAATCAGCGCTTCGTTGTGTCAAACAGTTGGCGCGTAGGTGGTTGTGTCGGTTCGTGTGTCATTTTAGAAAGCTCGAGGTTATGGCTTGTTCCCTGTGTGGGCTCGACAAACGTCGGGTGTTTCTCTAGTCAGTCCCTGGCGATCGCAGGGGGAACCCGAGCATCTCTACCAAATTTCGCAAGCTGATGTCATCAACACTTTGAACTACAATTTGTGGTCGGCAAAGAACAGGCACTTTAGAGAGAGTCTGCACTTAGTTCACTTGTTGCTGGATCGAAAGCCTTGCATTTCTTGAAGCTGGTTCTTCCAATGCCGAAATGGCAGGGTAAGACTGAATTCAGCTGTTCGGCATGTGCCAACCATGGTTTGACACCGGGGGACGTTCTCGGGTTGATAGCAACGCTCTTGCAGGAGAAGAGTTTTTCCTTGCATGGACTTCCATTTGGCAGCGGGATGAACCTGGTGCGCAAGTTTGGGATGATGCCGTAAGGGTCCTCAACACTTTGCTTGGCCTACTCTTCAATGCATAGCTGCTGTAGCTCTTTCAGTAGATTCGTTCAGGTCAGCATTGCGCAGCATAAAGCCAAAAGCGATGCGGGGTGCAGATACTTTCACAACACTTGTACCGACGCCTTTGGTAAGCCGACATCCTCACACGTAAAGCTCAGGATGCTCTTGGTAGCTACTAGGCCTGGTCAAGACCTTCTGAGGAGCAGACTCATCCCACTGCTTGACAATCTCTTTGAAACACTTATAATCAACCAAGTCCTGGCAGATGAAGCGGACAAACCTACAAGAGCCAGTGCCATAAATACTATTACTATGACTAGGCGCACTTCTGACAGCCGCAAAGATCCCTGATGTCCTTGTCTTCCCCAGCAAAGTTGCGAAAGACTCGTGTGTACCACTCGTCCTGGTGACCCCGTGTTTTTGTGCTTGGGCATCTCGGCTTTGGATGGTTTCTTGTTCTGATCCTGGAGGTTTTAAGAATTTCGCTGTTTTACGCTGCTGGCTTGCAGATGCAGCTGTGACCGGTATGCTCTGCGGCTCATTTCCATGCATGTTCCCTTCCACACATACTTCTGCGAGAGACAGCAAGAGCGGTACGGCGGTTGACCATCTGCGCCAAAGAACGAAGTGGCTTCACGAGTTCTCAGCTTGCCGGTGCCAGTGCTCAGCGCAATCCCTAAGCCCAAAGCCATGCCTCAGATGGCTTTCTTCGGACATGGACCGTGGTCAAAAACCCTTCCACGCTGAGGTCACCAAAAATGGTCCTTGGGCATCGGAAGGTCTCCCAGCTGCTGGAAGACCATCATGAGGCCCGTCTTGTTCTGGCCTTGCTTGCTGCTGCACTACATCAGGGGCTGAGGGTTGTTCCGGTGTAGAAGTGGAATCCCTTAAACCAAAGGGTTTCAGGTAACCATGCCAGCTCATCCGGCTACTCCTGCAAGTTTTGCAACAGCCGATGTCTTCGCAGTAGAATGCCCTCCAATACCTAAGTGATCCCAGGTGCCGAACATGATGCTGCTTAGGGCCAACTGACGGGGCTACGGGAGTTTTTTTGTGCACTGCTGATTAGCAGTGCGAAGTGCCGTGCCACGTTCCGAAGACATCAGCGGGACCCGCACAGCATGCCCCACAGCCCCGCAACTTCACATTTCAGAGGCTCACTCCTCAGAACACCTTTCGCGAACCCTCCATGCACTGACCCTTGAGCCACACCCCCGAGAGCTCACAGAGTAAAGCCCCGCAACAAAAGACCCGAAGCCCAAACTCCCGCCAGTGAAGCAGCTCCTTGCTCAGGCCCAAGCTACAATCTAGGTGGCCCGTCCTGCGCCAGATGGAATTTCGGCAAGAGGCACTCTGCTTCAGGCTTCGCCCCGCCTAAACTCTAAACCCTAAACCCTACAAACCCAAAACCCTACACGCCCCCCCTCCCTGCAGTCCTGAGAGCATCTACGAAGTCGAAGGCCTCTGTCAGGCTTAGGGCTCTCGGGGTGCTGGACATTTCAGAGGTGCTTCGGTGCTTCAAGACGAGGTGCCAGACCTTTCTAAGGTTCACGGGTGAACAAACAAGACAAAAGGTCGTAACAAGGGCAACTTTTTCTCCATCGCCAATGAGCATTAGAATGCGTGCCAAGTACTTATTTATGAATTGGGCCGTGAGGATCAAACAACAGCAACTTCATAGGATGGCAAGTGAAATGCAATAACCTACCGGCTCTGACCTAAATCTGTTGCTCTGAGTATGCCGGAAATTCTGGCTGGCTTTCAACTATGAGCATACTTCGAACATACCAAAATGCAACAGTCACACAACAATGTCGAATAAGACTGCCAAGCAATCCTTAATTTGGGGTCCCCTGCTATATTAACCCATTCATAATCAGGGCCCATGGTTTCAACCTTAGATTTTAACTGGTGGAGGGCATTCTCTTACAATTCTATTGTTAAAAGTTTTAGATGGAATGACAGTATGAATAGCAAATGATATTAACTCTTGGCATTTAATACTCTTTATTTGGTTTTTTGGAATGGATTTCATTTGCAAACTAAATAACATTATAATCGAGTTTTTATAAGTAAATTAATAAATGCGGGACCGAGGCTGGGAACTTGGGGGCTCGGAAAGTCGGACTTGGGGGTTGCGTAGGGTTTGGCCAGGGCGGCTCGGTGCTTCAGGACTTGAGGGCTCATGAGTTCAGTCGAGTTCCAGGATTGAGAACTGAGGTTGTTCCACCAGCCAACATATCGAACCCCCGCTGAACCCCAAATCCGAAACACCCCCCCCCCCCCCAAATCCCCAATCCCCTCAACCAGAGGATGATATGAACGCGGGTGCGCCTGCTTGCACAGGGTCGACCTTCGCGATGCCCTCTCGGCACCCTGAGTCATCATTTTTCTCACATATACATACACTCATATTATCAGTTATGTATGTAAATATAAACAAATACATAAATGAAAAAGTAACAAATGAATGAATAAATAAAAACAAACATATATATATATATATACACACGTTCTGTAGCATGTTTTTAATTATATTACATAAAATGAATAAACAAATAAATAGATATATTAAATAATTAATTAAAGAAATAAATAAATATAAATATAAATATGTATATATATATATATATATATTTACAAAACCTTTTCTTTAGCTGCTTAGAACCAGCTGGGCATGGTCTGTCGTGGCTTCCTGTTCTGGCTCGGCAGCTGCAACCTGCTTTTCGCCTTTACCCAACAAGTTTAGGCAATAAGACATTCAGATTTGCAGTTCAGGGTTTAGGGTTTAGGGGGTTGAGGGTTTAGGGGGTTTAGAGTTGCGGGTTCAGGGCCTCAAGGAATGCTAAGCCTAACACCAGTCACACTGCAAACCTCCAAAGAGCAAGGAAAGTCCGAAAGCCGGCATATCCCTGAGGCCGAACCGCAGGTTCAAAGCCAAAATCTCCGGCTGCCAAGTCAACCGTAATGTTATATATATATATGTATGTATATACTGATCTATTTATTTATTCATCTATTCATTTTGAGTGTGAATAATGAATAAACAAGTAAATAAAAATAAATAAGTAAATAGATAAATATATATATATATATTATTACATTATTATTATTGTTATTATTATTATCATTACTATTAATTATAAATTATTATTATTACTACTACTATTTTAAATTTTTTAATATTATTATTATTACTATTATTATTACTATTAGAACATTTATGTACACATGAACTCCCTGAAACTCAGCCTTTGCCGAGTTCACCGCCGGGGCATTGGACGCGAACGTCATGGTCGAGGGCCTCGGGGTGGGGGGGACACTAAGTCACTAAGCAAGCCTTAGCAGCTTAACAGCTTCTCAGCCGACTATCTCACCCATGCTACACTCTGCTCGCCAAAAGCAGCGAGTGCACCCTAAACCCCAAACCCTAAACCCCATAAACCCTATGCCTAGGAGTGGCCGCCCAAGTTTGTCAGAGTATAAAGCCCACCAAACGGGGCCCGGGCATGTGAGGCAGCAGGCCGCTGCTCACCTGAATTTTGTAGAGAGCTCGGGGGGGTCGCCTCTAATCGGGTATGCCTGGCTTTGGGGAGTAGCTGGTAAAGAGCAGGGTTTGGGGAGGCGGATTCCGTTTGCAGCACCTCTGTGTCTGTGGAAGGCTGCGTTGCGCAGTACTTCTTGCGCGCCACCCCGTGCTCCCTCAAGCCTACGTCTCAAGGCACTGACCGAGCAGCGTGACAAGGATTACGAGGGATCTTCGCAATTCCAAGAGCATCCAGGCAATACTTATTACACGGTGGTGATCAGAAGCCATCATAGAGCCAAAGCCGCAGTAAATTCAGGGAGGGAGGTTCATTCCACAGCATGCCCTTATGCAATCCTTCTGCACAAATCTCAGGCCCCCTGAAGTCCAGACGTCCATTCCGAAGTCCATGCCCCCCTTGACTCAAGGGCCCCGAGCGCCTCAAACCACCTCTTTTCTTCCCTCACCTGTTTTTCCGGGTAGCAAACTTCTGGGGTGGGACCTGGCAAGCCGGAACCGGTATGCCGTCCCTCTCTGCCAAAGAGAGACAGTTCCAGGGTTTCGGATGCCCAACCCATGAAGCCTTAACTACTAGTTGCTTAAGAAACCAGACAAAATAAACATATTCTTCCTTATTAAGGGTAATATAGGGATTACAATTCTTTTATTCTTTTTTGGGGTTCTTAAGCAAGTGGTAGTTAACCCGAGGCCCCGGCGTCCAGGGAGGTGGACGAGCCTGCTGCGCTGGATAAGGCTGAGACCTGCACCACCGGCGGAGGCCCGTGCAGTTTAGGGTTTAGTGTTTAGGGCCTTAGGGTTTAGGGTTTAGGGTCTAGGGCTGAAGGTCCGGAGCTGATGGGGTGATCCTGTGCCACTCTTGTCACTGTGGATGGTGCTCACAAAAAGACGAAAGTGGAAGGGAAGAGTCTGTAAGGATCGAAGAGCGAATGAATGCTTAAAACCAGAACGCCAACCCTACAACCCGCAACTGAAGCGCCTGCGCTGGGGCGGGCCGACCAGGACCAGCATGGAAGGTGAAAGGCCCTGGATGACGCTTGGAGGCGCTTGAGGCGGTTGAGTCTGAGGCTTCAGGTTTAGGTTTGGGGCCTGAGATGTAGTTTCGAGCTTCCAAACTTAAGTCAGAAGGGAAAGCGGACTCTGCCTACCCCTCCGCTACCCGTTTGAACAAAGCTGGTGGTTACGCCTTTGTTCAGTACTGCATAGCATGGGCAAACTCCAGGCGCCCCTCTTAGGCGGACATGGCAGCTGAAGGCCAGGTTCGACTCTCAACTCTCACGTTGATGAGCAGCACGTCAGTGCCAAGGTCGGTTTCGCTCCGGGTCTTACACCTGCACATACCTGCACTGCCTGTGTAGAGTGGCTCTGGGCCGTCGTGCGGAAGGGAAGAACAGCAGCAACCAGTCGTCTAGAACAGTCCCGGCAACTGGCACGCCCTGCCTTGAATCCTCAACCTTGGGATGTTCCCCCGCATACTAACAGTCCTTAGTAGGGATGATCGCACTCCCCATTAATCATTCCTTTTAGGGACTGTTACAGTGTAAGGGGGAAAATCCCAACCTCAACCTCAATCTCAGAGGCGTATACGCCCTGAAACCCTAAACCCTAAACCCTAAACCCGAAACCCTAAACCCTAGACCCTAAACCCTAAACCCTAAACCTTTGTGCGGTTCGGGCCTTGGCTGAGGATCGCCCCCGGCTGCGAGTAGGGAGCCGGTGAGGTCAAGCCTCCGAGGATCCCCCGAAAACTCTAAACCCTAAAACCCAAAACCCTAAACCCTAAACCCTAAGCCCTAAACCCTAAACCCTAAACCCTAAACAAGCGACTCTTTGAAGTTTGCGAGAAGAGAGGGCTGAGACCATTTTAGAGGCCGAGCCTAAACTTCCATGGCTTCGGGCTTTTCTCAGGTTCGGCGGTTTTGGGTTTTGACCGAGTTCGGGGGTTGAGTCGCTTTGAGTCGGGTTTGAGTCGGTTCCAGTGCCAGCTTCGCGGGATCGGGAGCAGTCCCGGGTTTGTTCCGGGTATGTGAACTCTCTCTTGCTCCGGTCTAAGAGGCTGGGGATGCAAGCTTGGCTCGCGACTCGTAGGAGACATCACAAGCCATGCTACGTCTGCTAAGTTGTCTGCTTGCTGTTGGGAGAGTGGGCTTCGGGCTCCAGAGGCTTCAGTGGAAGCAATCTGCACGTGAAGACTAAACCACCTGAAAAGTACGTCTTGCAACCTCTCTTCAAGAGCCCTCCGGAGGGATTTGGGTGGTTTGGGGTCCGTGCGTTCGGACAGGTGCTCACTCAGCACCTCAGCCCGTAAAACGTAAAACCCATGTCTGCCCTTTCGGCCTATGAAGCCGGCAGCCGTCGAGGGCACGGGCTGCTGCGCAAACTGCCTCAAGCTTCACTCAGGCTGAGGGTGGGGTGAAGAGTCTTGGGGGCATTGGCAGGACTGTATGGAGGGCCCCGAGTGAGGATCAGGTTCATGGAGTCCCAGATCTCTGAAATGCGGGGCTCTGGAGTAGGAGCTGCCCAATCCACCGAAACCCAACCTCCAAACCTTTCCAGACTGCATTTCTTCGCTGAGGATGTTTGGAGCGATGCCATCAGAAGCCATCAAGCCACGGAAGCCAGGCAACAAGTGTGAGTGATGCTCGGGCTTAGGGTAAGTAAATGAGGAGCAGGACTGGTTTGTCAAGAAGACCTGAAGCATTGCAGCCAGCTCCTCGGCTTTTACGGCTCTAGTTCGGGGCCGTGCGGGAAAGGAGAACATATCTTGGTTTTCATTTCAGGGCTCAGCGTGCGAGGACACACTGTAGCCGGTTTGTTGTGCAAATCGCCTCAGTTTTTTCCGAAGCCCAATCGCATCTTCCTGACCCGTGAATTATAGGGGTTTAGAGTTTTCACAAGGGTTCAGGGTTTAGGGTTCCCAAACCCAAGAAAAAGCGTGTTTTCAAAGGAGCGGACTGCTGGTATGGCATGGGCTGCGCTATGCCGCTCCACTGGCTGCTACCAGCGGCCTTTGCGTGATCGCTGCCGAAAGATGCTAGGGCTTTGGCGCATCTATAGCTACCATGCAGCGCTGGGTGCATGGAGAGAGTTCGCTCCAGCAAAACTGTTGAAGTACATAAATGCCCAAGCTTCCAGGGGCAAAGAACTCGAATGTGCTTCGAATCATCTGAGAAACCAAGAGAGCCGACGAGCTCTCAAACCCAGCAGCAAAATGGCAAAATCCCATACTCCCCTTAGTGCCCTAACCCTCAACCCTCAACCCTCAACCCTAAACCCTAAACCCCTCCTGAAAGAACCCCCGTTCGGCGGAGCGGCGAGAGATCCCTGGTCAGGTGCTGTGAAGCCCCCGATCCTGGGTCTCGGTCTGGAATACGTGCTGGGATGTGTTGGGTCTTCCGGTGTAGGGTTTAGGGTCTAGGGTTTAGGGTCTACGGATGCGTTTGGGTCAGGGCTGCAGGGAGGAGAGACTTAGCAGGTACAACCCACAAAGGGGGTTTTATTACTAGAGTTTTCCTCGCGTGTCACGGTGTCACGCCTGCGGATACTTCGTGAGGATGCCGCTTGGTTGACAAAACGTAAAGCTTCGGAAGACTAGCATGTCAAAAGCAATGCGGGCAGCATAGGTGATCGTGACAAACGGACGCACTGGCAGCATTCGCGTTGCCGTGTTTGGTGTACGCATGCGCAGTCATGCGCAAACAGGTGGATGCACTGGTAGCAGTTGCCATGGTGCATGTCATGGCTTAAGGTGCATGGATGGCTTGCGAGGTAGATGCTCTCATGCGCACGGAGCCGGAGATTACAGCTTTTGTGCCATGCTCACTGCGGCTTTTCCTTGAGAATTCGACAGCCACACCGGATGCTCTAGAACACACGTCTCAAGCATTTTGACGAGCATTTGGGCACTCCAAGGATACTCCGCAGGCAGGCGCTTCAGAAATACTCTACGGAAGTCTTTGCTGGATTGTCTGGGCATGGCACTTCAGGGAGGGGATTCTCTGGGGGGCAGGCACTGTAGGGATATATGCAACTCCAGGGTTAGACCCGGGCGAGGAGAATACCTGAATCACAATCTAGCAACCTGGTCAGCAACAACTTAACTTAAGTGCATGGAAACCTTGTCTGCGCTCCTTTCAAGCTCCCCCCGCAACTACTTACCAACCAAACAGGGGCTCTGCATCTGAGATGCTGGTGCAAGATTCGGGCTTGTTGCATGAGACACACACACACACACACAAAGCAAAGATGTTCGTCATCTTGAGTCGTAACCTTGCGGAGACATAGCTGGTTGATGCTTGCTTGCTTGTTGTTTGGATTGTGTTTGGTGATTTTCCCTTTCCAGGTGCTCACGTGTTGCTTCATAGGGTCGCTGATTCGGGAACTCCAGCTACACGAGGCCTCGTGCGGCTAACAAGCCATCATGTGTGGCTGGCTTCTTAACATGTGCAAAGCATCCACGGGGCACCCCAAAGCGGCGATGCCCCCCCCCCCCCCCCCCCCCCGCTCGTGCGTGCGTGCGTGCGTGGGCGCGCGCACGGGCTTCAGGGTCCACGGTATAGCGATTGGCAAGGCTCTGGAAGTTCTCTGCCATCTGCTGATGCACCGCAATGGCTTCTGCGGAAAGCAGCTGCTGCCTGCCAAGAAGCAAGGGTGGGGGGGGCTAAGGCTTAGAGAGGCCTAGAGGCACCGAACCGGAGGCTCCGAGGCCGAAGAGCAACAAAAGGTCCCGGCGTCCCGGCAAAGGCACTGAAACTGGGGAAAATTCCAACCGACCTCTCGTTCCTAGTCTTCGCCGACCAAGAACGAATGAAGCCTGAAGGGCGGGGGGTGACTAGGTAGGCCCTATAGAGCCTGAACCTAAACCCTAAACCCTAAACTCCACCCAAAACGGCCTCGGGCCGGGCGCCAGCGCCCCACAGGGCAAAGCCGGCGCCGCGGCGCCAAAGGGCGCCTCGGAGGCTCCGAGATGGGCTTTGAAGGCAGAGGTTTAGGGTTTGGGGTTTGGGGTTTAGGGTTTGGAGCCTGGGGTTTTAAGGGTTAAAGGTTAAGGGTTTTAGGGGCTCAAGCTTCGGGGGTTCTAGAAATGCTTCTGTGGCCGTGAATGGTGCCTATGTCTTTGATCAGGGATAAGATGGGGTTGAACCCGGGCATGAGGGTATAAAGTTTAGGGTATGCGAAGAGGTCGGATGGCGAGTTGGTGGTTTCGATCTTGCGACGCTATTTGGGAAGGCGAAAAGCTTTGTCCCTCTCGTGCTTCGTAGATTCTGTGATGTGGGAAGGGGCTACAAAGCTATGTACTTCTAACCCTAAACCCTAAACCCTAAACCCTAAACCCTAAACCCTAAACCCTAAACCCTAAACCCTACCCCTAGGGCCCTAGAAGGTAAAGATTTCCGGTGATTGAAGCGGCTTCTCAGTCAGCCGGGCCGCCTTCCTCCTTCTAGTAGGGGACCCCCTCAGGGGGGGCTTTGGGGGGGGGGAGTTTTAATGCACTTCTCAGCCTCTCAGAGCACTTAAAATTTTAAAAAGTTGGGGGGAGGGGGGGTGTCTGAGGTCAGAGACACTGTGGGCTAAGTCTCATGTAGATGTTGGGCTTTAGCTGCTTGCCAGGATTTGAGGCATTAAGGTTGAGAGCCTCGGACATAGGATAGTTTAGGCTTTTGGCACCCACTACAACTTCAAAAGACCCTCAAACTTAGGTCCGAATTCTCATCAGCTCGAGTTCAAGAACCCAGTTTTGAGACGCCCGCCCCACCCTGCATTCCGCGAGGTCTTCAGCACACATTGTCTACGGGCTCGCGAGAGCCAAACGCTGCGGCAAGGCTACTGGGTGCGCGGGGGCGGGGCGAGCATAGGGGCTTGAGGTTCAGAATTTTTTTGTGTAAGGTCGAGGGGAGGCTGACGGATTCTGGAACGCGAAGCGCTTAATGCCTAAGCTCAGGAGTTTCAGGGGCACGTTGCTGAGCAAGTTGGGACGAAGCCAGAGAGTTTCTCAACCCGACCCAAGCATGGCTCAGCAAACCAACATGATGAACTTGAGCATACAAAGGGGAAACTTTGCATCTTCAACCCGAAACCCTAGACCTGTCGCTGATGCTTGGCCCAAGTTCGCCTCAAGAGGCCTAAACTCTCTGCCTTCGCGTGTTGCAGCTTCAGGAGGTTCCTGGTTTCGTCACTACAACGTGCCGCAGCAATGCCTTCTTTTGGACCAGCAGCAAGTTCTTTCGTGCAAGCCCGTCTAGGAACACATGCAGCCATCTGTCGAATGAACAGCTGCAGTGCCCACAAAGCTGGCTAAGAAGGAACTCCAACTCCATCCCGCCAACTTTGTCAAACCTGGCCGGGACACACTTTGAACACGTTCGTCTCGGGAAGCCCGAAGCTTCAGCAGAAACTACTCCAATCCCTGAAGCCGTTGAAGCCTTCGACATGGTCGAATCCTAAACGCTGACCTGGCACTGAAGACTTGAAGTTTGAAGTCCGGTGGAATGGAGCTTCTGAGTGATGCGCACGCCTTCACTTCCAGCCAGCCAACTTCGCTGCAGGCTTATAATGGTGTCGCACCTGGGAGTCACGGAACACGCTGGCTTTAGGCTTCCGTGGTTTGCTTCTTGCTGCAGTAATAGCAGTAACAGCAGCAGTGGTGGTGGTGGTGGTGGTGGTGGTGGTGGTGGTGGTGGTGGCGGCGGCGGCGGTGGCGGCGGTGGTCGTTGTCTTAGTCTTGGTCTTTGTCTTGGTCTTAGTCGTAGTCGTATTGGTATTCCGAGTCGTAGTGTTGGTGATGGTTGTGGGGGGAGTGGTAGTGGTGGTGCTTGATGTTCGTGTTAATGCTAAAATGTTGTTGTTGCTGCTGCTGCTGCTGTCGTTGCTGTGGTTAAGGTCGAGGGTAAGGAGCCTCCATCAGTTTTTACAAACCATGGCTTGAGCTGCACTCAAGTCCTGAACTTGTTCCCTCCTTGCATCGCCACAAGCTGGTGGAACACATACGGGGCACCAAGGGCAGTCCTGCCCGCGGAGCCCTGGCCCTAACATTGCTTTGCAAACAGCAGTTCTTTGTCCTCCGTCTTGGTCTCAAAGTTCCTAGCCGAAACCACTGAAATCCAGAGGGCAAGTCCAGATCTTCAAAGGGCATCCAAACCCCGAAAACCCTGATGTTTGCACCCCAAGCCCAATGCCCCTGTAGCAGCCGGAGGAACCTCAAGACCTTCGGGGCACTTTTGAGAGATGTTGAAACATGCGAAAACATGCCTAGAGCACCCTGCAAACCCAAATTCAAACCCTAATTTTAGCCCCATCACAAGATCCCAACTTGTTCCAGGTTCCAGGGACCCCACGTGCTTCACGAACCAAGTCGCGACCGCTTGGGCATACTCCTAGCATGGGGCTTCCTACTTACTCTTTTGTCAAGAGCACTGCGTGCACACTTGGTGGCGTCAGAACTGGCAAAGCACTGCGAACACGGCGTACACATTTGGTGGCATTAGAACTGGCAATAGCAAATGCTTTCAACCGATATAGAGCTAGTTGTTTGACCTTGGGGATGCTACGGAACACATACAGCAGAATTTTTCCGAACACAGATCCCGCAAGACGCTAGAGTCGCAAGAGGTGCAGCTTTCTGGAGGACAGCGATGTTGGCTCCGTGTCCCTAAGAAAATCTCTAGGCACGCAGGCCACTAAGTGCCGTCATCACTTCTGCACATCCCCCGCATAATGCTTTTCACGCGGAAACTGCTTTCCATCTACACCGATAGTCGAGTGAAAGTCCTGAAGCCCTAAGCCCGAAGGGAAAAGCTAAACGCTTAAGAATGGTGAGCCCGTATCCACAAAAGTGCAAGTCATGCACAGATGCACACATGGGACCCGACAACTTCCAAACTCCCGAAAGCCTTTTGCAACGGCACGTGGGGACCAGCCTCGTTCATTATCATTATATAAGGTCTGCAACAGCACTGCAGCTCAGCTTGAAACCCCGCTGCCTGCCCCAGAAAGGATGCTAGCTCCGTCTCCACCTGCCATGCAAAGATCCTTTACGATCTTGAGAGTTGGGGTCTGGGGGGGGGGGGAGGTGGCCGGGAGTGTCTGCGAGCGTTCGCGGCGTTCTTTCGTCGCCAAGCTTACGACGGTCGTCACTGTTAGAAGCTTTGAGGTTGCGGTCAAGCTTCGAAAGTCAGAAGAGATGGCAGCCATGGGGCCATGAGGATGGTGCATGTCGGTGTCTGATAGCATGGGATAGGAGCTGCCATTGTTCATACTTTGCCTCTTAAAAGGGGCGGGGGTGGTACATGACTGTGATGATTGCAGGGGCAGTAGCTAGAGCCCGTTTTATGTTCCTGGCACACGGCGTGCAAGGAAAACACGTATGCTTTTGGATGTTTTTAGGGCTTAGTTCCCAGGTTCACAGGTCTCAGGGGTTCTGAAGGCCTGCCCGACGCCTTAGGTGAAGAAGCCAATTCGGCTTAGGATTTATGGTAATGCAAGCAGCAATGCGAGAAAGGAAGTATGGTGAGAGGAGGACCAACTTTACGTAATTGGGTGGCTAGGTGGCAACTGGGTGGACGAAATGCCAACACTTCTGCTCACATGCAAGATGCCAGGCACTTTGCTCGATGGACTTTCTTTCTCTGTAATCAATGGACGCGCGAGAGCATTGGACGTCAGGGCCAGTGCAAAGCTACCTGAACGAGCATCCTGGCGACTGAAAGACAAGCCGCACGCGGCACGCGTCAGGGCCTGACAATGGATGCGGCAGCTTCCTGGGCACTCGCTTTAGCATCTTCAGCTTTGGCCTTTTTTGCGCGAATTGGGTATCTGGTCGCTTCACCGCTGCATCGCGGAGCTCGTTTGCCCAAAGCAATGCACGAAAAAGATTGGGAACTCACGCGAAGCACTCGGCCAAGAGGCTGGCCGCTGCCGTTGCAAGGTGACATGCCCGGGTCCGTAGGGAAGACACTATCTTAGGCAGCTTCTTGCTGCCCGGATGCAAGAGAAACCAGAGGTCTCGCAGGTCAAGCCTTTCCATTTCTTTGGCTTCTTCGGCGCCTCGTTCTCTCCTGACTCCTCACGCTATGAGTCTGTGCCTCAGGTGGCGTGCTCTCCTCGTTCGCTCGTTCGCACCGGCACCTCTTTACAGCTGGGCGCGTCTCGCCCCGTGTTACGTCCTGCACATGCACGCCAGTTGCTGACGCCGGTCTGAAACCTAGATCTGGGCTTCCGCAACGTGCAGCGAGACATCACTCGTTGCACATAGGGCACGGCGATCCCACGATCGCCACGTCGTCCCATGCCACACTTCACGCCTGGAAAAATGCCAGTTCCCAGACTCCCGCCGTTGCTGCTTCCATCTTGGACGAATGCACGAAAAGGAAGTCTTGCTCGCAGACGCTTCGAGGCCTTGCATTTCACCCGATCTCAGGTCAAAGCCTAAACGCGTAAACTGATATAAACTTCTAAATTCCAAGGAACCTCTCCAGACCGAGACCCCCGATCATTTTCAAACCCTTCGAAGCTAAAGAAACCTCTCTGCCTCAACAGCGTCAACATCTCAGATCCTCTTCCCTTTCCCGAAGCCTCCAAATCCCACAAATGCTCACTTCCAGTTGGGCCTCGGTCGGCGGCTTCCGCGCTACCAGCATGCAGACCGTAAACCTCAGTTTGCGGTTTCAGACGGCTTCGCCTGGCGAAGGAAAGCTTTGCACAACCTGGTCCATGTCGGAGCAGGCCCCGAAGCCGCAAACTCAAGGCTGCACTCTTTCTACTTCTTTGAGGTGCTGCCAACCCCTCAAGAAACCCACAGGCAGCCGAGTCCATCGCTTCAGTGCGCACAACTACTCACAAGCCACGGCTTTTGTGAAGGCTTCGCCGCTGCCAGGTGAATCTGGGGACACTGGAACCCCTCACAGCATCCTAAAGAGACGAGCCAATGGTTTCCACGACTGTGCATCGGTATCCCTCATGCAGCGACTTGGAGTTCATGGCTTCGGTGAGCATTCACATGGGTGGCTGTCAAAATTACAATCCCTTTTGGGGTACCCTAAGCATTATGTGCCGTATTAGAATAGGGACCTTAAAAGGGACCATAATTTTGACAGCCACCCACATTGTAAAAGCCCCTGAACAGTTAACTTTCCATCGAGGGGACTCGGACAGCATGTCGCAAGTGGACTGGTCGCTGGACCTTGTTGGAGAAGTTTAGGGTTCAAGGTGTGGGGTTTGGGGATTAGGGTTTAGGGTTCAGGGAGCGTTCAATGAGAACTTGGGGATGAGGCTCTGGAGTTCCTGGGGTCAAGGCTGAGGTCAAGCTTCTCAGGGTGTGGGATTCGGGCGTGCGGCGGAGGGTGGGGGATGACGGAATAAGGTCTTGCTGTCTCGCTGTCTACTTCTCTCTGACGACCTGGCTCAGAAGCCCTAAACTCAGCAGGCATGCTCTGCAGACAAATGAACAAAGCAGCCAAGCCCTTACAACTCACAGCACATGATAAGATGGCAACCCAAAATGGCCTACTATGGGTTGCGCCAGAACTCCAAAAACCTGTAGCCCGCTTCTCCGCAACAGAATTGCCCTCAGGCACAACTGCCAAGACCCTTTTGGGGTTTTCAGAACAGTTCTCGGACCTCCAGTTAACCTAGGTTAGCATCCTTTTGGTCAGCTCCCTGAACCCTAAACCCTAAACCGCCTAAACCCTAAACCCTAAACACTGAACCCTAAACCCTAAGTTAGCATCCCTTCGCAAGTCTTGGGTCTGGGCAGCTCCTCCAACTTTGCCAGCTTCTTACCTCTGATCGTAGCGAAGGGGACGCTGACGGTTCGGCTGTTTAAAGTTGGGGGCCTTGGGATGTCGGAATGTTTAGACTGTTCAGGGTTCTGGCTTCAAGTTGAGACCTTGTTGCTACGTCTCCGCCTCCCTGTGGAGAAAGAGGTGAAGAAACGGCTGGAGGCGTCTTGGATTCGGTGCATACGGTGTAAAGTGTTAAGCCATGAAGCGTTCCCAAACAAACCAGCTCAAACCCTATTCTCGGTTTAGGGTTTTGGGTTGAGAGGGTTTAGGGTTTAGGGGACCCTTTTACTCCGAACCCTAAAGCCCAATCAGCTCAGCATCAGCAGTGACGAGAAGAAGAACAATAGCACAAGAAGACCCACGAAGAACAGGAGACGCACGCGCACACACACACACACACAGACACAGACACAGACACAGACACAGACACAGACACAGACACAGACACACACACACACACAGAGACAGAGAGACAGAGAGACAGAGAGACAGAGAGACAGAGAGACAGAGAGACAGAGAGACAGAGAGACAGAGAGACAGAGAGACAGAGAGACAGAGAGACAGAGAGACAGAGAGACAGAGACACAGAGACACAGAGACAGAGACACAGACAGAGAGACACAGACATCCTACCCCCTCCCCTCAGCGATGTCGGGTGCCGCACCCACTTCTGCTTGCAGCTTCTTCTGCTCCTTCCAGCACGACTTGCCTACTGGCATTCTGGTCCAAAAAACCTCTAGGACTCTACAACTGCAACAATCGGAATCTAAAGCCCCAAACCTCTTGACAAGAAACAGTGCCCCCGGTGAGTCACGGGCCCCCTCGTCAGGCTTGCCACGTTTGCCAAGCTAAAGATCCCTTTGCCACTCTGGCCTTTAAGCCCCAACCGCCCCAAGTACCTTAAACCCTAAACCCTCCCTGAACCCTGAACCCAGCCTTTTTGCTCTCATCTCGCCCCAAGTTTCGGACCTTCTGGGACCTTTCATCCAAATTTTGAACAGACGCCCTGGCTGCTTGGCTTGAAGGCCGGGCCTTTGAAATCTCAAAGGCGGGTCTCCTTTCCAAGGCCCAGAATCCCAACTGAGCCGAAACCAAGAATTCCCCTCTTCAAAAAAAATGGCAGATCAAGAAAACACCAAAAACCATGTCTCGATCAATCCGGCAAAGGGGTGGTCCACGCGCCACCCGACCTCCCAGAGTGGGCACTGTTTCGGGACCCGCTTTAATGTTCCGACCCCGGACCCTCTGGATTTCGATGCGCTGGCCTCTTGGCTTAAAGGCCGGACAAGCTCATCCCGTTTAAAATCATATGGATCAATATGAACCCCTGTCAAAATCATATACAAACTCATCCCTTTATCCGTTCTACATTCATAAATCCATCCCCTGTTGAAGACCCAACATTCCCGCGTCCTCCTCGGAGATGACGGGTGCTTGGGCTGTGGCGGCTGGAGGGGGCTCCTGCATGCAGAACATGGGGCTGCACGGGCTTTTAGAGTACAAGGAGCGTGTTAACTTTTGCTTCTACAATACGGCGACTGCCTGGAGAGTTGTCGCGGGTACTTGGGGTGCTTTTCTGCTCTACGAGGGGCACCTTGTAGTGCATAAAAACTCATGCACAGGGCCATCTCCCGAAGACCTGACGAGCCCTTGAAGCCCCTGAAGCCCAAGAACCTGAACCCCACAAGCTCGTATAACAGCCCACCGAACCCTTTGGTCTCAGACATCTTTGGAACACACAGCCCCGGTCGCCTACATCTAGACCACCCTTGCTTTGAAGGGCTTTACTCATGGCTTGGGGTTTGGGACTTCGTGGCATTAATGAAGACTTATGAGTTTACAGTCTGCGCCTTCGGGCTTTGGGGTCAGTTTCTTAAGGGTTTCGGGAGTATGCCCGAGCGTGAGGCCTTGGTTGGGGGAGCAGCAGCGGTATTCGGCCTTGCTCTGCGGACGGATGCGGGTGTCGGGTTTATCGCAGTGCTTGACCACCAAGCCCGAGCTATGGTTTTGGATTTTTTGGCATGAGACTTTCAGGGTTGAAAAAGGCTGCATAGGGTTGAGAAGAGATGCTGTAGCAGGGAAACATCCAAAGTTTCGGGTTTAGGGTTACCCCTGAGTCCAAGTACCAGCACTGTAGTGTCTAGTCCCTGTTGAGAAGGCATGCGTCTGCGATGCTACTGGCAACCGGCTTATCAGCCGAAGTTGTCCATCCTGCCCCGAACGCCAAAACCCGATCGGGGATCGGGATGTACAGGTTGCAAAGGCTCAGGAATGAGGCAGACGGCCATATTCAGAAGGTGGCATGATTGCATGAGGGACAGCAAAAGGCGGCGTGGGGAAAGTCCAACTCTTCAGGTCGAAGGATGTAGGTGGTTGACGGTGATGGCTCTTGCAAACCCCATCTGCCATGCCCCGTCTGGATAGGGGCCCTTGCACAGCTTGCACATGACAGCACGTGCACAGGTTGGATAGCCGATTGCTTCTCATAAAGACACCAACAATGAAATCTACGCCGGTGCTACGCGTGGCTCAACAGCCACTGTATGGTCTGGAGGGCCCACGAAACTGTCCTCCACAGTCTCGCGTCGTCATTTGCTCTTACGCTGGCTTCGACAGCAGAGGGCTGTTGTCATATGACCATGCCTTCCTTCCAACCAATCCTCGCAAGCTGCTTGCCGGAGTTGGTACTGTTGCCCGACGAGCTCCATCACGAAGCCCTGGTTGATGGCCGTCTCCACCAAGCCGGTGTGTAACAACACCCAGCGAGCATTATTCGCTCGCGTCCATGTTACCGTCATATTGTATATGCACGCTGCGCGTCTCTAATATTGGCGAACTCTGATGGACGTGAGCCTGAGCCTGAGCAGGCCCTCCAGAAAGGTTCCATCGCCGCCTTCGACAAGCCAAGTAACGAGGGCAGATCAAAGTGCCTGGTTCTTGGAGACGGGATGAAGCCGCAAGCGCTGGGTCCCACGCTGTTCCTTGTGCTTCTCCTTTCGTCGCCGTGACCTGTCCCCAGCCCCAACCCCCACTGCAGCACCACATGGTTGTAGCGGCCCTAAAGATGGGCGAAGCCTTCTCATCGGCTTCGGGGACCGGGCCTACTGATCTTGAACCCATGAGGCTGGCCTGTGGCCATCTGCCGCTGGCGCGGGGGTCGCCTGCAGTTCAGGTGCTCAAGTCGACACTCAATTTGCTACTAGCCCGGCAAGGCCATATAATATCTACAGTATCACCCCATCTTCCGGAACGAGCTTAGACACAGAACCAGCAACTGCGAAGTTTTAAAGCGATCTATACAACAATGAAGAGCTCTCGTCAGACAAATGACCCGGAGAAGGCCGCATCACCTCATGAAGCCCTGAAAGTGCTCCTCAATCACCTCAGTAGCCTAACTGTTAGCAGTAGCAATCGCACAACCTCATCTGCCACATCTAGCTGCCTTAACATCACCGTGCTTAGGCAGTTTTTGGATGTTGGCGTAGCAGTATTCTGAGAATCGAAAGCCTTTTGGGCCTTTTGGGGTTTAGGGAGACCCCAAAACAACAAGACAAAAACTCAGCGCATGCAACGCGACATAGCATCACAGTGATATCGTCTCAGAAACGAAAATCTCAGGCAGCCATATGGGTGAGGTTCAGTGTCGCGTTCAGCAACACTACGCCCAAGCCCAGAAAAGAAGCCTCACGGCCCATTGTGCCAATACCGCCTGCGAGTTCAAGAGCCGAAAGCAAAACCTCAAGCTAGGCTCTGTGAGACCCTAAACCCTAAAACCCTAGACTCCCTAAGCTCCTTAAACTCCCTCAGCTCTCTAAACCCCCTAAACTCCCTAAACTCTCTCAGCTCCCTAAACCCCCTAAACTCCCTAAACTCCCTAAGCTCCTAAAACCCCTAAACTCCCCTAAAACCCCTAAACTCCCTAAGCTCCCCTCAAACCCCCCCTTCAGAGTGCAACCTCCGTGTCAGGGGCCTCCACCGGTGCGGGCGCCGGCGCCTTGGCGGCAGCGGCCGCCTCGGCCTTTCCAAGAGGGCGTCTTTCGACCCCCTGAGACTTAGATGGGGGTTTAGGGCTTAGGGTTTGGGGCTTAGGGCTTAAGGTTTAGGGGTACCTCACTGGGGCCCTTGCTCTAAGGGAATCCCACTCTTTGGGGATCTATACTAGCGGTCCCTCATTTTCGCAAACCCCAGATTCTGCCTGATTTCCTACTATGTGCGCAAGAACCCCCCAACAAATAAATCATGTTCTTTCTTAGAAGGGCAATATAAGGGCTGTAGCTATTCCTATGGAGTCTTTAAGCATATGGTAGTTTCTCTTAGAAGTTTTTCCAGTAACTCTACGGCTTCAAACGGCTTTAAATAGCGATCTCTCAGCGGCTTGGAAGGTCCTGGAGGTTTTAAGGATGGCTGGAGATCTCGAAGTTTCTCGAAAATTCTACCACCTCGAGGCTTTTCGTCTGCACCCTGATATGCAAAACCCAGGCCTCACGGCACTGAACAGTGCTTCAAGGACTGATCTATCTCAAGCGTTGTACTCGACTATAAGGCCATCAGGTTCAATCTGCCTTCAGCCACAAGACCGAGTCGCACGGCTACTGGGCTTTCAGGACAAGGCAAGTTGCTGGCTTTTGGGGCCGTGGGCCATGGGCCGTGGGATCTTCGAAAGTCTTCCCCAAAGTTCCTGGCTTTTAGCCGGCTCCTTGGGGGCCCCCGGGTGAGGCTCAAGGTGGAGATGTGTGGGGACAGGTTGGAGGTGCTGGGAAACAGCCACAGCAACATGGCTGGTTCAGGGTTTACAGGGCTTTTAGGGCTTAGGCAGGGCTTTGATGTGCCCCGGGCGTGTTACGGAGCGAGCACGCGGCGCTGAGCGGATGCTTCCGGATTTGGGAGGGGTCAGGTGAGCAGCCCACAAAAAGCCAAGGAGTATGCTGAGCCTTCGCACCCTTTGAATGTACTGAAGGCCTTACACCCCTGACTTGGGATTTCCCCCTTATACTAGCAGTCCTTATCAGTGATTATAGTACCCCCCATTATAATCCTTGTTGAGGACTGTTAGAAAAAGGTCAGAAAAAGGTGGAACATCCCAACCCCTAACATTTACACCCTACGTCGACAGCTTAATCTTGATACGCACTCCAAGCCTGAACCTTTGGCTGGGCACGACATGGGGGGACTCTGCTGTTCTCCTCTGCGTTTGCCTTCTCAACCTCCCATGATGCTAGGCTCGACATCGTAAGCTGCCCAAGGTTGGGGCCCTGCTGTAATCGGCTGTGGCATACAGTCTTGCTCAACCTCCTCTTCGACATTCTGCTCACCTCGAGCATCCCAACCTTGAAGCCCTCAAGCACGGAGACGGCTTGTTTCTGCTTGCAGGGTTTAGGAAGTTTGGGATTCAGGGCTCGGGGCACCTTAAACCCAAGACAAGGTTCTCGCCTCGAGCTTTCTCCTCCGGCGCTTTCGTGAGCGGCTCCGCCTTTGGAATTGAAGCCGCAGGCAGTAGGGGTTTCGATGGGGGTTGTTTGTACTTTGGAGCTTTTAAGCGATTTTTGAATCCGGGGGCATCCCAAGTGCTTCGACCTTGTCTCTTGCTGGGATGCAACCCATGCTGGTGAGCCTCCAGGGTTTGAAGAAAGCTAGGGAAGCATGAGAGCACGTTGAGCAGGGACTAAGTAAGTACTTGGGTTTCAGAAAAGCATTATGGTGGCCCCCAGTCTTACAATGAGACCGTTGATGACTGGACAAAGCTGGGCGCCCAGCAGCGTGATGGGAGTGGTTGTCGCGTCCTGGCGCAAAGGGAGGTTTCGGCCGGGTTTGGGGCAGGGGCCTTGGAGTGCGGGGAGCTGTCGGTTTGGGTTTAAGGTTGGGGTTTTGGCCTGTTCGCAAATGGCTTCGGATTCAGATTTCAGGGACCCAGGATTTGCAAGAAGTTTGCCGCCTAAGGCACGACATCTCTCCGGCACTCGCACGGTTCAAAGCATAGGGTAGCCTTCAGAACTGGGGAAAATCGCAATGTCCGAGGGGCACAAAAGGTCAACAGTCTATTTCGTAAACCCCAAACCCTCAACGCTATACCCTAAACCGTTCAACCTCTGAATGTCTGACAGCTGGGATTGGGCACCTGTCCGTTCGCGCCGCCATGACTTGGCAGCTGACCATCAGCACCCCTGACTCTGCTAGGGCTTGCAGGTGCTTAAAACCCTGAAAAAAAAGTTCAAGGGTGTGAGGCTGGTGGCAAGTGGGGTTCTCGATTCCGGAATCTCGCTCGTCTTGGAAAAGCCTAGGCTTAGGATTGTCAGGTTGTCAATCGGCTGGGGCTTCCGAGTGGAGATAGGGTCTGCACGTCTAGCTGAGCATCATGGTATGGGCCCTGCCTCTGTTGCATGAAGTCGGGCAGGAAGACAGACAGAAACTCCTCATGATCCTGGACATACCTGTGAGGGTTTAGGGTTTAGGGTTTAGGGGGCTTCAGCTTTAAACCGTGGCGCCTTGACCCTGACCTCACGGGTGAACTCCAACTTCGGGGGGCGCACGGGTCGGCGTTTGGGCAGAGGCGGATGAGCGCTTTGCCATCCTTGCAGCCATTGGCGAGGATGTCGTCCAGCAGCCCTGAAAGGTTTGTGAGCGACAGGGGATTGAAGTCCTGGGGCGAGATGCATGCGTTGATGGGCACGAGGGTTGTGCCAGTAGTCTGCGAAGGGTCTAAGAAATGTTCAACATACCCCTGGGGCATACCCCCTAAAAGAAATTAGGGGAATGGTAAAATTCTTCCTAATATGCTCTTTATGGGTTAAGGGGTATGGGTTTGGGGTATGTTGAATCATTCTTAGAAAGGGCCGAGGCCCGCAGGTAAATCCTAAACCCCGCCATCGACCCCTAAGGTGAGGGGGACATCTGGGTCTCAGAGTTTCATCCAAGGGTTCCCTGCGGTTCCTCGGTCAGATCCCTTGGGGCGGCCCCGGGTTTAGGGTTTAGAGGGTTTAGGGCTACACGGATTGCATCTCTGAGAACCGAAGCCCTCCACGACAAGCGTGTATGGAATGTATAGAACGCACACAAGCAAAGCCTCCAGCCCTAGGTCTCAGATCAGAATCCGGGGCCAAAAGCAAAAACCTCGAAGCCGAAACCCTGAACCAAACCAACACACGTTGCTGATCACGGGCTCCAAGCCCAGATTTCAAAAATGAACTTAAAGCCCGAGATGCCACTACTCCACTTCCTGCCACAGACCTCGAGTTCTCGTAGTCCCATTTGCCAGGACCCCATGCTCCCCTAAACCCTACACCCTGAACCCTGAACCCTAAACCCCAGTAAAGAAATGTAACCCCTCGGGCTCCCGACGTTGCGCATCCCGGATGTAGTTCCCCGACATGCGAAGTTGCAGAGGCGCCGCCTCATGCAAGTAGCACATACTCTGCACACCACACACTACGGTTTAGGGTTTAGGGTCTAGGGTCTAGGGTTTAGGGCTTAAGGGTTTAGGGTTTAGGGCTTGGCGATCAGGTAAGCGCTTCAGGGTTCTGCGATGTTGGGGCTTATCGCTTGTTCTTGCTGCCTCCAGGATCGGACGGTGGAGAATTTCTTGATGTAGAGGGTTTCGACTTCCCTCGCTGGATCTTGCTCGTCTTTCACATTCGCTTCGCTCGCCCACTGAAACAAACGCAGAGGAGGGTCTTAACATATTTCGTACATGCAGGCCCCTACTGAAGCTTGCAGTGTGCAGGAAACGGTTTCTGCGTGAGGGCAGCTGATGCGGAACCGGGCTGTAGATAGAAGCAAAACATGTCCCGGGATCTGTCGAAAATTAGGGACTCACACTCCCGATGTTTAATTTCTGCCGTTCCCATATCCCAATTCACAAGAATCACAGCCGCAGAGCTCGGCCTTTCGGTGCTCCTGCATGCACAACTTTCGGCCATGAACATGCTGAACCTTAGGGCTCCAAACCGTTTGAGGCGTCGAAGCTCTGAACTTCCAAAGGGTTCAGGGTTTGAGGGTTTAGGGTTGCCAGTGCCCCCCGAAACCTTAAACCTTGAACGCGTCCTGCATCATCGGGTAGCTGGGATGGTTGTACAGACCTGTCAACACGAAGGCATGCGAGGAGGCTCAACTCTTTGATGCGGTTTCTCTATGGGAAGAAGGGAAATCGCGGATTTCGTCTGCAAATACAGAGAAAATGCAGGCATTCCTAGGAAAAAACTCGGGAAGCGTTGGTACAAACATGTTGGTAAATAGGCCAGGCTAAACGTGCACGCACGGAAACGGAGGCCAATAGTAAGGTTTGGTGCAACCACCCTGGCCTGGGGAATGGGCTTCCAGTATGTTCCAATACCTTGAGCCCCAAACAACGAAAACCCCTTTCAGCTCAAGCCTCAGATCAGAAGACCTCGACCAAAAGACGTTCATCAATGGCATGGAGAAACTAAAATCCTTTCAAGCCTTCAAAGCCTAAACCCTAAACCCTGGGACCCTAAACCCTGAGCCCTAAACCCTAAACCCTAAACCCAAAACCCTAAACCCTAAACCCCTAAACCCCTCAACCCCTCAACCCCTAAGCCCTAAGCTCTAAGCCAAGCCGCATCGCAGGAGGCCACTGAAGCCATCCTGCTCACCCGGCTCGCCGTGGATCTCAGAGGGCTTGCTGGAGGGCGGAGGGTGCGGGTGGCTGTGGGGTTAGGGTTTAGGGTTTAGATTTAGGGTTTAGGGTTTAGGGTTTAGGGTTTAGGGTTTCGGGTTTAGGGTTTAGGGTCACAGATTTTTTCAGCCCTCACAGCTTTACATTAGGGTGCTCGGTGTGGAGGAACTTCGCCTTGACTTTCATTACGGCCCTGACTGGCCTCTCTTTGCCGAAACCCCCCAATCCAATCCCCTAAGCTCAGAGATCCCAAGGTTCCAGCCCTCGTCACCAAACTCTAAGCTCCCTTCGACGGCGGACATGATTTGCGTATGTGTATAGGGGGTATGCAGAGCCTTCCGTTTAGGGGAGTTCTTAAACCTCAGACTCCCTCGTGCCCCAGCCAACCCAAGCCCCAAAGAGCCTCCTCTGCAGCCCGGCTTTTGGGGCCCCTAAACCATAAACCCGATTGCGGTGCAGCTTCGAACTTGGGGGCTTACGAGAAGTTCAGGGCCGACGGCCGCAATGCCCCCTACACTCCGGGGCCCGTTCTTTGACGGCCTTTTTTAGCCTTTTTTTCGGGCAATTGTTGAGCCCTTTTTTGAGGGCCCTTTGTGGGGCTTGACTTGCCGGCGCATCCTGGGTTGGATGAAAGGCTTCTCATTGCAGGGAACACGTGCTGCCAGCCTCATTGTCAGCAAGGTCCAGCCTTTGTTTGAAGAAGGCTTTCAAGGCTCACAACAAACAAAACCTCATGGCCTCTCAATGCATGGCACCGCGTTCCCAAGGCTGTGCTCTGATGCTTTTGGAGTTGATCCAGCAATCTCATGCAGCGGAGCAAAATGCTACCTCCAAGTACCAGCATCGAATCGTGATCGCTACGCAGTCTACTTGGCCCCCATGCACTTGGGGGCGTTTCAGAGGAGTTGAAGGCGTGGAGGATGGAGGGCTTTGGGGTAGCAGTAGAGGGCTGAGGGGGCGGAGAGGTCTCCGAAAGCCCCACAACCACTCATCATGTTTGCAGCCCGAGGGACTCGATCAGTGGATCGCGACAGTTCCATATATACCTGAGGCCCACAAAGCACTGCAAGGGCTCTACCAAGCCTACCCGGCAAATCGAAGCCTCAACCCGCGAAGCCCTGGAACCCTCTAAGCGCAGGCACTGGAGACAAGGATCGGCGATCAACACCCAACCCCAAACCTCCTAGACGTCAAGCCCGGAACCGCTTATCGTCCCCAAAATCCAATGACCTCTGAACCCTAAACCCTAAACCCTAACCCCTCAACCCTAAACCCTAAGCCCTAAAAATGCTCAAAGCAGCCCGAGATGCTCAGTGACGGAGGCCAGGCCCGAGCCCCTGAGCCGGTTGCCGGAGAGGAGCACGCGATCCACCTGAGAAAGCTTTCAACATTGCTTGAAGCCCTAAACCCTAAACTCTAAACCGTAAACCGCAAACCCTAAACCCTAAACTCTAAACCCTAAACAAAACCCTCAACCCTCCACCCTAGCCCCAAACCATAACCCCAAGGTTGAAGAAAGGCTGAAGCAAGGTTTCGTGGTTAAAGTGACCAGAGGCATTGACATTCAACCTGCGACCTTCAACCGTGATGTTCCGCCTTGATGTTCAGAGCCTATCGGCCAAGGTCCAACATGTAGTTACATCACATTCCGTTACATCGTGTAGTGGAGCACCCAACTTAACTCAGCCTAACCCCCGCACGTCTGGCCTACAGGGCCTAACTCTCGCCCATTTGCCCATTTGCTCACCATAAAGAAGAAACCTCTTGGCTCCTCACCCGCAGGTCGAGCTGCTTCATGCTGTCCAGCACCGCGCACACGCTCTCATCCTAAAGGGGTGATGTGCAGGACATTGCAGGGCGCCCAGGGCTCGAATCGCGCGCACTTGGAGTTCCTAGGACTCCTTGGGGGCTTTGGGGGTTTGTTTAGGATGAGGGAGCCATGAATGTCCGATGTCAGGGCTTCGGCTTGTTTGAGACCGATCAACCTGTTGGGGCTTAAGCCCCTTGCGGCAGTTAACTCTGGTGGCTTCTGTAGGCCATGTCGCTTGAAGGGGCTTGCAGCTTCAGTATGTGTGTCACAAACCCACGTCGGTCTTTGTGACGGGCTTTCAAAGGCTGTCTCGTGCTGGTCTTGACAAGGTCCTCAGCAAAACTACCCTCATCCAACAGTCGGTTGCAAGATATTCCTTTCCGCTCTTTGGTCGTCTGAAAGCGGCGGTTTTCAATTTCATTCCATCACCCTGGCACCTCCGGATCTTGGGTGGAGGAGGGCAACTACTGTCCCTAAGTCCAACCCTGCATGTTGTGAGCTCCTCAACGTCCTAAACCTAAACCTTGAACCCCAACCCCAAACCCCAAACCCTAAACCCTATACCCTAAACCCTAAACCCTAAACCCTAAACCCTAAACCCTAAACCCTAAACAGGCCTAAGCTGCCGAAACCCGAAGAAGCTCTGACAAAAGCCCCAACTGGGTGCCCCAGCTGTCAGGTTGTTTCGCGACAGGTCCAACCTCCGCAACCTCCAGGGCTGACCTCCGAGGAATCACCCGGTTCAGGGTTTAGGGTTTAGGGTTTAGGGGTTTGGGGGGTTCTTCAGGACGCCAAGCTCTGAACAGGAGTTAAAGGCTTGGCCTTTGAGGTTGCCAAGGTCTTTTGTCCTTTGCAAAGTTTCGCTTGTCAGTGTGCTGACCAGGGTTGAGGGTTGGGTGGGGGAAGTTTCCGTTCGGAGGCCTGGGCCCCTAGCCCTAACCCGAAACCCTAAACCGCCCCTTTTTCTGTGTTACTTTCCTCCGTGGCGTGTGTTTCTTTGCCCCTTTCGTGCTTCGGGTCCAAGGCCACCACCCGTGCTCCTCGGGTCGCCAAAGGTCCGCCATAGCCAGCACTGAAAGCCTCAGGCCGCAATGTTCTCTCAGTGTACCCTAAACCCTATATCCTAAACCCCTAAAGATTGTAGATGTTTGACGTCTTTCTCTTCGGGTGTTAGGGTTTAGGGGGCTTAGGGGATCAAAACGCGCCGTGCGACTTACAAACAACTTGATGCTTCTACTCAGCTATGGGTCCTCTATTGCTCACGCATTGAAGATTGCCTCGTGCTTTAGGGTGAAGGATTTTAGGAAACACGGGTTGTCAGCCAAACTGGAACCAAACCCATGAACTCAATTAACCTAACCCAGTCGTCCTGACCGTACGCAAAGGCTCTGAGATGTTGGCACATGAGGAAGTCATTGACCTCAGTCTTTTAGGCACGCCAGAACTTCGAGATCGATGGGCTGGTGAAGTTTATTATCGGGAGTGTACTTCTTAACGACTCTAGTTGCCAGTTCGGGTGGGGAGTTCGAGGGGCATTCTAGAGCTCAGCCTAGGCAGAAGCACCCGAAGCCCTGAGCCATGCCGAAGCCCGAAAGCCCCTAGGGTTTACACAGCATGGCGAAGGCAACCGTTCGGAATTGGGCAAAACACGACAAGTCCCTCTACGACAAGCCTGTTTAGCTCCTCTGTAGCATCTGTTGTAGGTAGGAGGCACGAGAAGGGCTGCCCTTCTGACTTGGCACACGCCGTCATGAGCAGAGCACTGAAGGCACGCCAAGCCTATAATGGGCCACGTGTTGCTCCAAGACTTCTTCGAATTCCCAACCCAAACCAAACCCAAACCAAACCCTCCAAAGCCCGGACCGCTGTGCCTATTGGGGTTTGGACAGCTACAAGCCGAAGTTGTGGAACCGCTCTCGAAGATGGAAGGCGGGCATGCGATATGCTGAGCACGCAGCATGTCTGTCCTGGCACATGCCCTTGGACAGCCCAATCTGAGCGGGACGTGGAGCGTTCAGGAACTTTACTGTCTATGTGGTGGCTTCTCTACATTTATGGTCCCTTTGTTGGGTCCTTCTTTTTAGGAGGGTCCCTATTACTTCGGGTGCCCAAAAAAGACCCCCAAGCGCCGATGGGATCTCGTAAAGTGGCCCGAGGCCCTGTCGAGGCCCAGCCTCGCAACCCCCCCAAGCCCTGCGCATCCATCAGCTCCATCCATGTTCTGTTACAGCCCTAAACCCCTAAACCCCTAAACCCCTAAACCCCTAAACCCCTAAACCCCTAAACCCCTAAACCCCTAAACCCCTAAACCCCTAAACCCCGAAACCCTGCAACTGGTTCGCACAGCCAACTCTTCACCGCACCGGCCCGGGCCTCCGCCCCTGCGGAGCTCATTCGGACCGCCTGCTCCTTGAAGGCCGCATAAGCCGCTGGCCTGCTGAGGCATCGCAAAACTGAGGCTATCTTGGTCTTATTGTTTAGGGTTTAGGGTTTGGGGTTTAGGGTTTAGGGTTACCCTTGTTTATAGGGATCCGAATCATGGGACCCTTATTCTGTTTTGTGTATAGAAGGGCTATGTAAGAGACAAGGCTGTTTAGCTGCGGTGTTTGAGAGTTCGTAGCTGTTCAAAGTTGAGGATTTGGCGTCTACAACTTCTGTTTCACAGGGCCAAAGGCGCAAGGCTTGCGGTTAGCACTTTTCTTCCTCAGCTGAAGGTTTGGATTCTGGGGTTTGGATTCCAGATTTGGGCTCACACTGGACAGGAGACTCTCCCTCGTAATGAGCTTGCCAGGATAATCGCAAGGTGAGCGTGTTCCTGCTCGGCCATGGACCCCTTCTCTGCATTTCACCCGTGGGTCTGGGGTTCCGGGCTTCTCCTCCGCATAGTTCCCCTGGGAAATCTTGGGGCTCAGAAGCTGAGGGCTCAGGGTTTGTGCTGGTGAAACTGCAGTGGCCTGCTCGGATGCCTTGGGGTTTCGGTGGCTGTGGCACTTCAGGGTCTGTTTTGGCTGCTTTCAGGCTTTAGAGCTTCCTTTAGGGTTTTAAGACGTTGGAGCTTCCACGTGCAGGGCGTTTAACTTTTGCGCTTCTCGTTTCAGCGCTTGAAAAGTTAAGGCCTTTGGCCTTCTTGCCGTCAGGCTCCGTCATGCCATGTACTAAAAGAACAATAATCTTTGCATGCCGCCTCCTCAGTCCTGCCAAACAAATCTGGAGGACATCTCAATAGTGATTTCCTGATGTCAGGAGCCCCCGTTGGGCAGTTGTACAACTGCAGTTGAAGGTCAGCTAGGGCCACTTGGTCTAGACAAATCCCGATACTGAACTCCAGATCGCAAAGCCCCAGAGTCCCAGACCCAAATTTGGTTAACGATATCCTCAGACATTGAAAGCCCTAAACAACGCTTCGGGCCCTTACCAAAAGCCAGTTCTGCTAGAGCAACTTGAAGGCCCCTCCGCCCCATCTGAGAAGGTGCCCGAGCTGGGCCGCCGACGCCAGGACCAGCCTTGGCAAGTCTGGAGCCACTGCTTCTCTGCTTCAGCGGGAGAGTTGGTGATTGGGTCTAGGGTTTGGGGTTTAGGGGTTAGGGTTTAGGCGGTTGAGGGTTGAGGGTTGAGGGTTGAGGGTTGAGGGTTGAGGGTTGAGGGTTGAGGGTTGAGGGTTGAGGGTTGAGGGTTGAGGGTTGAGGGGTTAGGGTTTGGGGTTTAGAGCCACAAGGCCTAAACATCTCCACAGGGGGGGGGTTTCCAGCGCGCCGAAGAACCTGTCTGTTGCTGTTGGTACCACACTGGCCAGGGGCTTGCACGGAACGCATACTTTTGGCAACATGTTAGAGAAAAACCGACTAGTACTGGCACTGCCCTTGATGATGTACATTCTTTTTGCTTTCAAGTTTTTTTTTGCTTTGTGTGGGGGGGGGGGGGGAGGGCAATCGGCCCAAGCTCCTTCCACGTCCTTCCAGGCTGGTTAAGTGGGGCACTGCAGGACACCTCCAGTGTACCTTTATCTGTGGACCTCGGGGAAAAGATGACATCTTTGGGTCAGCTTCAATAGTCGAATTGCTTCGCAAGAAAATGCTCGCATGCAAAATGCCAAGCTCCTGCAAGCACGGCCCGAAACTAAACCCTAAACCCTAAACCCGAAACCCGAAACAGCTGTGTGCAAGGCCGATGGTGGTGCCGCCGGTGCCCCACGCTCGCGGTAGTGCGGCGGCGGGCCCTCATGTAACGGGGGATTGGGGTTCCAGGGCCGGGGGTCAAAGGGCTAGGGTTTATTTAGGGTTTAGGGTTTCTGGTATCGGGTTTAGGGTTGAAGATGAGGGTTTAAGCTTAGGGTTATAGCGTCCAGGGTTTCGGGTTTACGGTTAAGGGTTAAGGGTTTAGGGACAGCTTGCCTGTTAAAATCCCAAAGCCCTAGCCACTCATTACTTGGCCCTGCCCCACACTCACAGCGCCATGTGCTCCAGCCTCGGGAGGAGGCCCATAGCGGTGGGGCGGCGGATAGCCTGCGTTGGAGGCTTCGGGCGTTTGGTTTGGGAGTCCTGCTCTCACAGTCATCTTGGAAGAACCGCACCCGAAGCGCACCCGAAGCCTTTCCGCACCTATGAGCCCCTAAGTCGTAAACCTCGGACCTGAACCAAATGCAACCAGGCCCTCTGACATTTTCCTGAATCGGAGGCATGTCGGACCGATCTCTCGTGGCCACAATCGCAGCGAAGCTGCTGTGCCATATCCCTCTACACTGATTTGTTCTGGGTCTCAGTTCCCACCACGTGAGGGAGGGGGGGGCTGCATAGCTTGTCTCGCGATTTGCTTTCGAATCCAGCATGCTTCTGACGCAACAACAGCCCTGAAAAATAGAGTGGCAGCTTACAAGGAACTTTAGACATACAATTCCAAGGAGGCATTTGCTATGTGATGCAAACTCCCTGGTCGTGGGTAGGATTCAGTTCCGGGTTTAGAGGTTTTGGTTTCAAGGCTGCGTGCTGCTAGGCGTCAGGCTTCAAATTTCCAACACATGGCGCAAGACAGACCGGTGATGTGGCGAAGGGCGTGCCAGACCCTTAACTTGCTACATCCCTAAGCCGGGGTGGCAAAACCCATCCTTGAAAAAGATTGGCATCTTTGGGAGGCCCCCCCCCCATTGCACGAACTACTGACCACTGCGGAGCCTGGACCCGGATAGTGGTAACCTGGTGGCGGCCCATAGGGAGAGGCCTCAGCCAGACTCCAGCGGTAGCGTACCGACACAAAGCTGTCGGCTGAGGCCCCAAGCCCAACCGAGGAGCAAGACATTTCAAAATCAACACGTAGATGGACCCTTACTTGGCTGGTTCTGGCAATTTTTGAGAACTTCATGCACACGCGTCATTGTGTGTGTGTGTCTTCTTCTGCATCGGATGCTTTCAGAGTGGGCCATCACAGCATCGTGAATGGGACGCATCAATGTGACTCACACAATTTTTGCGGAGCTTCAGGCTCCAAGAAAAGCAGCCATGACTGTTTCAAAGCCAGGGCACTCCTCCGTCTCTTGTTGCTTGCTGAGATGCAGTTGGCTTTTGTGCATTGAAAAGCAGCAGACTGCCGGCCTGCCGGCTCATGGCAGATGGCCCAGACTTGTGATCTGATTCAACATGTGCCTAGTTCTGGACGGAGAAGCGAGAATGAGCACGCCCGCATACAGCAAAAGCTAAGCACTTGCGGGCCGGTCCCCCAGGCCAGTACTGGACTGCTTAACTTCGGAGGTCAGAAGAGATCCCGTGCATTCGATGAGGTATGGCCGTCAGCAGACTCTACGGCCCTTTCACAGATGTCCAAAGCCGACCTACCTGGCTGCTGTTGCGCACAGAAAGAAACAGATTCCGTACATTCCCAAATCGACATGGACAAGTGAAAGCCTGACTATCGCATCTACCAACTTGGTGCAATACACTCAGCCCCCACAAACCAGTATGTCAACCGGAACTCAACCCATTCATAAACCCTGCGGCAGCTGAGTACTGTGATAGAGCTCTGGGTACAAAGCCCTTTTCCCGAAAAACAACGGGACGTACATCCGCCAAACAAAAACCCCTCAACCACCTTTTTGAGCACCCTGGAAACCTTATTGCTCTAAGACTCCCAGTGTCCTGGTCGTCCTTGAAGTCAGAGTCTTTGCGAACCATGCACCTAACCCTGCTCTCTGAGGCCCTTGCAGCAGGACCACCTGGCCAGCAGGTCTCATGCTCTGAGGGAGTCCAGGTGATTTAGCCCTAATGGAACCCGAACCGTGAATGCGATATTTCATGTAGGTCCTGGTTGGGAGTCCTCTGAAAAAAAGTGAAACTTGTTAGCTTAACCTCCCGCAGGGCTGCCAATGGCAGCGGGTCAGTTCGCAGCTCCTCAAGTAGTTCAGGTTCGGCCGGCACGAAGCATGCGAAGCGGGTCCCGGCCGGCCAAAGCATGCGAAGTCCGGCCGCAGCCGCCCGCTTCACGTAAGCATAGATTATGTGTAGCACGACGAGACGACGAATGCTAAGCAGCCCCAAGACTTCAAAAACAGTCTTCACTACAAAGCAACGGCCTGGACACCTGCAAGTCAGCACGCTTGTTTCTGAGGGTGGCACGGTGCGAATGGTAGGGCGGAGGGCGCGAAGGTGGATACCTGTCTTCTCCCCTCTAACTAGTGTGTCTTTGTCAAGCATAGCTTGACAAGGCTGGACCATATGCCACCATGGGAATGGCCATCAAGCATCAAAACAATAAACCTCAAGACATGACCTGATACTAGCCCAGGTACTTACCATTTCTGACCCATATACCTTGTGCATGAACCCAAATCCGCAGCCCTGACCCTGTGAGAGCCTGAAACACCATGCGCTAAGCAGACAAAGTCAGAAAGTCTACATCCTGGGGTCCAGGAAGCGCACGGCGCAACGTGCGGAGGCGGGCCCTGGGCAAGGGCTTCGAGTCGGCAATCGACAAGGCTCTACAACGCGAAGGAACCTTACGGGCAGAGGACTTCAGAAACCTGATCTTTGGAACCATGTCGGTGCTTCAACTCAAAAAAGACGGCACCCAGAATCCGCACGCCAAACCTCTGAAGTTCAGTGCGGCTTCAGAGGCCAAACCTCGCACCTCTTCTGTGGAGGGCCTAAAACCCATGAAATCCCCTGAACATGCAATGCCACGCTGAAGGGGCACTCCATGCAAACCCAACCCCAACCTGAAGCCTTCAACCCTAAACCGGATGGGGGCACCTCATGTTCCGCCACAGCCTCAGAAATCATACAGACCTCAAGAAACTCACACGACATCCCTGGCAGACCAAGTAGCCATGTGCGGTGGTGGCCCCCAGCCATGATACCCGGGCGGTGGCGCCTCGGGCTGGATTGGTTTCTCGGTTTCCACCGTCAACATGGGTTGTTCTTTACCCTGGGTGTGGGGGTTTCTGAAGAGTTTATGTCTGCTCCGGGCCAGGGTCTCCCATCCGGGCGAGCGCACCGCCTGAGAATCCTGCGGGGAGAGTCCCACCGAGTACAGTATCCCTGTCATACCTGGAGCGCCCACCCTCAAGGCTGCAGAGAGTCCTCCCGAGTTTCCTGCGCCGAGTATCCCGGGAGTACACCCATGTGAGCCAGAGGACGAGAGTCAGTTTAGATGCAATCACTTGGGATGTTGCCTTTTATACTAACAGTCCTTAATAGGGATTATAGTACCCCCTGTAATCATCCCTGCTAAGGACTGTTGGTACAAGGGACATCCCAAGCAATCACCCGAAATTCTGAAGGTCCCAGGGCCCCCAGGACTCAAGGCCCAATGTGGAGCATCCTGGCGACTCAACACCGGTTT